TTCAGGCGAAAGTGTCAGGAGCTAAAAAAAAAAAAAAAATTAAAAAAAATACAATAAATCCTCTTTAGTGCGAACACACCCACTGTTGAGCAGAGGCCATGGGCGGCCATGGACGTGGGCTCTGTCCATATTGACTCAGTCGATGACAAATATAATGATGGCTCAGGGTTCATTCTGCATAGGATATTACTTTGATGGTTTCCCCCTGTCATACCATGTTCGATTACAGCTGGAGCAGCTGTTTAAAGTTTCAAATATTTCACATTTCCCTGATGTTTTGTTCCTACTGCTGTTTCTTAGAGCACTGAAACGGTTTATGCACTTAGTGTTTAAAAAAGGCAATTGGAATTCCAGTGAGGGACTGATGCAGCGTTTACATCAGGGGTGTCAAACATACGGCCCGTGGGCCAAAACCGGCCCGCTTAAAGAATTTTGAAAATAATACAAAAAATACACAATACATGTTCAGGGAATGTTTTGTAAAATTATATTTTGTTAAATATGAAGATTTATCACATGCATGAAAACAAAGGGAAAATATGGACTTTTTGTTATTTATTTATGTCTAATTAGGTTGTATGCAGCCCCTGATTCAAAATTAGTTTGACACCCCTGAGTAATAATAACCTAATAATAATAATACTAATAATAATAATATTTATTATTATTATTATTATTATTATCATTATTACAGTAATACCTTGAGATACTAGCATAATCTGTTCCAGGATCGAGCTAGTAACTTGAAGTGCCCGTATCTAACTTAACTGAACTTAGCTTACATTTTCTTTTTTCAATTTGTATTGTATTTGTCTTTCTTTAGTGGGCATCACCTCATATTTATCGACAATTTCATGCTTTATTTCCATGGTCATCATGCGTTTCTTCTTCTCACTACCATCCTTACCACTCTCTCTCTTAGGACGCAAACGCAATACGGAAGACTCGCGAGCGATGCGTACGGAAGTCGACGAACACGTGAAGTGAACAAGTGAGGTTCAAGTAATCATGGGAAAAGGCGAACGGCGAATCACCGACCTGTCAACGGAGACGGCAGCCAGTGTGAAGCTGCTGGCGTACATGGTGAGATTGATGAAGAAGTGCACCACTTTGCACATGAAGGAGCCGAACACCCAGCCCTCCAGGGAGTAAATGGTCGCTTGGAACGGGACGCAGAAAATAATGAAGAAGAAGTCGGCCACGCTCAGGTTGAGTATGAAGAGGTTGGTGGTGTTGTAGCCCACTTGTCCGCTCCGCAACAGCACGGCCAGCACCAGGCTGTTGCCGACGGTTCCCAGCAGGAAGATGAGCGAGAAGACCACCGACACGATCACGCTGGTGGGGTTCAGCTGGTAGCTGTCGGACGCGTTGTTCTGACCTACAGACCTGCTTAAGTCCTCGAAGTCGGCCATTTTGGATTTCTGAAAAAACAACAGGAAAGAATTAATAATAACACATTTCTTAATTTATATATTTTTTCTGTGGCCTCGTACTAAATGACCTATGAACTGGCACTGGTCCCTGAACCGGGGGTTGGGAACCCCTAACCTAAGCTTCCATATTGTAGCGTTAGGCATGCCTGCCTTGCAAGTAGAGAGCAGAGAGTCCCGGGTTCGATTCCCAGAGGATCACTTGGTGCCTCTAGGGGGCATCCTGTTACAGCAAATCTACCGGTAACACCTGAAAGTTCAAATAATAATAATAATTATTATTAAATACCTTAGATTTAGCCAGAAATTCAGCTCTCAACCTACGACGGAGGTCAAGGCCATTCAAAAGAATTATTTTTCCACTTCAATCCATTAATAAAAAAATTAATTATTTCCTGTTTGGATTAGAATTCACTTAGAGGAAAGCTGTTAATGACCAAGCGGAAGAATTTTTAATTACAGCTTTAAAATAAAACCCTGTGGAGTTAATGTCGACATGTTGCTTCTAATTAATGTCCGGTGGAGTCATGTTTCAAATACTAATAAGTTAAGAAATGGAACGCTGTCCCTAATTGGCTGGTGTGCGGTGACCTTTAGTTACTTATTGACGTTGTTTTCAGAAGCGTACGTGTGATCCCAAGAACGTCTACAACGCTGTCGATGCAAAGGCTCTTGGTGAAATTGTTGTATGGGACGACTTTTTTATTCGCAGTATTCCAGTGTTTGTACGTTTCCTGTAATGTCGGTGCCATTATTTTAAAAGTCATGAATAGCAGGTCAATTACTTGTAGTCTTGTTTGTTTGTTGTTGTTTGTTTTTTTTTTCTTCCTTTTAGGCAAAAGGAAATCAAAGCAATGCCTCATCATATTGAGCAATTTTTCAGTTTCTGACTTGATAAATGGACGCAGTGGATGAGTCATGATGAACATCGTCTTCAACTAAACACGTTGCGATTTCGCGTCGCTTAAGTGAACTGTGAGCAAATAGAAACTAGTAGATCATCATATTATATTACATATACTTTTAGCGACATATATTTTTTTGATGATCGGCAGCTGAGAAAACACAGGTTTAGGTTTGAGAAACCGGAAGTGTGGAAAAGAATCAGCAGCAGCACGGTGGTGGGTTGAAGCATTGCAGTGATGCTCAGTTAGCCTGCACTGCTATCATGTTGATTACACTCATTTGAGACCCTGCTATATAAAATCCGTGAACGTAAAACTAATTCAAACCCCTCATTTCGTATGGTTCGAAATTGATGCGGTGCTTCCAGGTTTTTCCGGCTACTGGGCAGATAAAAAAAAAATGTTTGTTTCTGTTTCCTTGAGCTCTAAGCACCAAGGCCATTCTTCTTCAACGTCTGACAACAACAACGCGTTGACTAAACCTTGACCCTTCGGCTGAACAACAACCGTGTTTTCAGCATCGATCACACACTTCTTATGTAACTTAACAGCGATTTTATCTGTTTCCTGTTTTGTAAATCTGTGTTTTTTCGCATTGACGTCAGGCGTGAGCAAACTGTCATCACAGGGGTAACAGAGCAGCAGAGATAATGATGAGACTGATGGATAAAAAAAAGATAGATTTGGTTGAGTGCAATTCAACGGGGTCACTGTGCAGCAGCATAGAGACCTGGTTTCCAGATATTGTTTTGAAAAAAAAAATCTAAAAATAACCCTTGTTTATCACCTTCGACCTTTGGATTCCTTCAATATTGTCACAATATCACCCCCATATTCAACAGCGGTTTCATGATGTGGTCGTAGTGAACTCACCGACCCTGGAATAAAACATGAAGTCAAACAAAGAGCTATGTGCATCAGGTTAGCAAGGCTTAGAATTTTTTTTTTTTTTTTTATGATTCTTGGGAACACAAAGCATAAGAGCAGCATGAAATAAGGTTGCACAAATATGTGTCGTTAAAAATCAGGGGTCTCCAAACCCTGGTTGGGGGACCGGTGCCGGTCCGTAGGTCATTTAGTACTGGGCCGCAGTGAAAAATTTTACTTCAGTTTTTATTAATTAATCAAAAAAATCCAGTCATATCCCTTTACTTTTTTCATTCAAACAGGTCATTCAGACTCTGATACTTACAGAAGAAAGTCTAAAAGATGTTTTGTTTTGAAAATGTAATAATCTTTCAACGAGGTTTTGGGTTTCCGCTGGTCTAAACTATTGCTTCTTTCCAGATACAATTGCTTGAAACCACATGAAGTCAAAGCAATCATTTCAGCAGCGAGAATCTCCTGCAGCAGAACTATGGTTTAGTCAGCTATAAAAAAATCCCCCAGTTACCTGTTGTTAAGCCAAAAAAGTCATCAATTATTTTATGTACTGTACATATGAACTCTGCTGGAAGTCACTCGGTATAATCAGAACCTCAGCTGGGAGTCAAGTGAAAGTGTTTAAAGACGAAGGTTGTGGTTATCACAGGTTTCTTACTGATGCTTAGAGTTAGAAAAAAAAAAAGAAAAAAAAATTTTATCCCGAAGGTTTCCTGCTGCTACTGCAGCTCATCTCTTCTTGACGTGGATATAATGTGGGTGAAGAAATGGAGCCGTGTTTCATGTGCGACTTTATCAAGGCCGGGGAGAAAAAAGGAGCTGATAAAAGGCAGGTGGGATGTGACATGACTCAGGAACCTTGGGACTTTGGCTTAACTCTGAGTGCGTTGTCAGATGTGATGATACAAATAGAAATAGAATTTGGTATCATGGTTAAACAGAACAGCAGCATTCAAGTGAATGAGACTGGGGGATCCTGGAACTGACTTGTCACGAGAGGTACCGGCGTTGACGAATCAAAGAGATGCTATTTATCCAAAAACTACAAAGATATAACATTGATTTTTGGTTATTTTTGGAAGGCAAAAAAAAAAAAAAAAAAAACACAGGCAAGGTCTGCAAACAAATCCAAATCGGGGAGTCTCCCGAGTGTGTTCCCTTTTGAACAGCAGAATCAGCATGCAAATCAGAAAGATGCACTGAGATGCACCTACCTTCCAGACTGATGATGATGAAGCTGGGGCGGGGGGAAGAGGAGGGTGAACAGAACCCAAAGCTGCAGCACTCGGTTCAAATCGGGGGAAATACACTCCCGGCAAAGGTGCTCTGAAGAGATGCTGGTACTGATACTTCAAACTGATGCCTCTCTCTGTCCACACGGTGGGCTCGGGCTGCTGGTTTGTCTCTCTCCATCCTCCGCCAACTCCTTCTCCTACCTACACCCCTCTCCCCCGTTGAGGACTCGCCCTCCTCCTCTATCTCCTCCCACTCCCCTCTCTCTCGCTCTCCCTCTCACTCTCTCTCTCTCACCACTTCCTTTTAAGCACTGCAGAATAAGGATGTGTGCCGTTGAGGAATGAAGAAGAGAAATCCATGCACGGTCGGTGCAGTAATGAGGAGGTTGGCCAATCAAACCTCTGAGGGATCGGCCTGCGGATCCCGGCATCACACTGTGCCACCGCCTTTGTATTAATCATTAATGTGTCTGGTTATGGAAGAGGCACAATTCAATTTGACAAATCAATTAAAGCCGGTCGACGAGGTTTGTCCCTGATGAGTTTGGGAAAAATAATGTGTCCACACTGTGTTAGAGCTTAAATGGAATGTAATGGCAGTAAATCAGCAGTATGTATTTTTTTTTTTTTTCAATTTAAGACAGGAGGCGACACCACGAGTAACATTAATAAGACTGATTATTTCTGTTTTAACTTTTGATTCTCCACAGGAAATCCACTAAGGATAGATTGAGTATGTTGAGATTTGAAATTAAATAAATAAAAGCCATTGTAGGGGATTAGACTTTTAATGTTCTTTAAATTTACGTTTTTTTTATTGCTTATAAAAAAATGTTAGAGTATTTGCCTTTGAAGCATTCATTCTGTACTTTGTCGTAATCGTCGGATTCTCAGGTTTCTGATGGTACCTGAAAGCATCTCATATGACAGCTGCAACTTCAGCATGATGACATCGTAATCAGTGTAGACTTATTGTGCTATTTACACCTGCTATCGAGCTGCTCTGCTCCTCAAGCTAGCTAGCAAGTAGCAGGCTAGCGCATGTGCGTTAGTAAATTTCTTATGCTAAACATGTAATGGATATTAATACATGTAAGAAAATACATTCTAGAAGTTGATGTGTTTGTACTGGTCATATTTTGTTGTAGGTTTCCAGAAGCTAATGCTGTTCGGAGGGGCCTTGGTGTGGAAACGTTTGGGAATGCTACATAAACGCTACATGACCGGCAGGTAAATCCTTTTATTTGTTACATTTTTTTTGTTTTGTTTTGTTACTGTATGCAATACACAACTGAATCACACCACTGACAAGACTTTAATATACCATCCCATTAAAAGAAAAAACAAGTTCAGGCAATCTGTGCGGGGTCAAGTTGACACTTGTAATTATTCAAATGTGGCGCACGGCTGGAGTGATTCGCGCCACATAAAAATAAGTGTAGCTAGGATCATTATCACTGATTGCTCGTTCAGAACTATGAGTCATCCGGTTGTCATCAATGCCATCTGATACGTGAAAATGTCCGTCCGCGGAAAAGTACGTCGGCAACAATAGCTACTTTAAGATAGATCCTCGCATTAATAAGCGCGGCGGGACTGGGGCCGATCTTCTACGATGCTTCATTCCTGTGAGTTTTTTTTTCCTTTTTGCTCTGTTAATGAACCTGAAAAACAATTGGGTCCAGCCTGTTTCCTACCATGACCTACCATAACACATCATTATCATTAGATAAGGATGTGATAACGATGTGATATATTGCGATATTATAGGCACAACGATATATTGAGTTTAATTGTAGAAAAGTGACAGCGTTGTAAACGTAGATGCTTAAGATCAGATCACCAGAATTGGAACAGAGGAATCAAGATTTGTAATGTCCGTAGAGATGAAATTAAAGCAAAATAAAATAAACCAACACTGTGAATATTTGCATGTTCATTGTTCGGGGGGGAAAAATCGATACAGTGCTATAGAAAGTCGATAGATGGATGGATGGATGGATGTCATAGCGGAGGAGGCTGAAGAATTGTCTTCCCCAAGGTCCTCTGATAATACTGGTCCAGGTTAGCTGTTTTCTTTGGCGGGGACATGATGAAGTCTGGCCTGGGTGGACGTAAATTAACATTCGGTAATACCTCTGGGTGTTGTTTCGTGTGGTTGTTTCCATGGCAACTGAGAGGGGGTCCACTTTGAAATGATGGTGAAACCAACACATTGATTTTCTGGTTGTTGTTGTTTTTTTGTATACTCTGAATTAATTACAGTATTTTAAATAAAATATAATATATATAAAATATAGAAATAGAATTATGGCAAATCACAGCAACATCTGGGATTTCACCTTTTTTGTGTTGTTTAAAGTTTTTAATGATGCAGAGTAGGAGTAGCCAATCCCTGAACAGATTTCCAGTCCATTAAGGAACCGTTCCCACTCCCACTCACACATGTAATTATGTTCAATTTACAGTATCAAATGATCATCGTCTGAATGTTTTTGGTCTGTGGGAGGAAACTGATGAACTCTGTTGCAGTGTTTTTCAATAGGTGAGGCGTTCGTCCCCAGGGGGGGGGCGCCAAAGAGTCACAAGGGAGGCCTGCCGGAAGTGAACTTGTGAATCGTTTCTGGGTGCCCTTTTTAAGAAGTTGTGTTGTTTTCAAATACCATCCAGCAGTTGTTATTGAAACTCATCATTGCCTGGAGTGCACAGACGATGCATTTACTGCAGAGGCGTGTGTGGGTTGGGGCAGGAAGGGGAGGGGGACTCGGCTGGACTCTATTCTATAGGAGAGGCTCACATTCACCCAATTTGAAAACCACTGCTCTATGCAAACTTGCAAGACTTCTTTCTTACTGTAAGGCACAAGCATGAAACCCTTGGTACGACCAGGCATTTTCCCCATTGGGCAAATGTGCTTTTAGGGCCAACGGGACACTGTCTGTTTATTTAGATGCGACCCAATGTTCCAAAAACGATCAGTTAGCCTCAGCATTAGCCCCTGTGGATGGATGGATAGATGGATAGATAGATGGATGGATAGATGGGTGGATATCCAAATAACTTGATAGCATTGTTAGCAGATTGATAATGTCTCTGTCATTGGTGTTCTTCTATCTAACCACAGGGAATAATGCTAAAGAAAAGCAGAAATAATTAGGCTCCTTAGTCATCTGTTAGCCTTAGCATTAGTTCCTGTGGCTGGTGATGGTTATTGTTATGAAGTGAAATATTCCATGAGAGATTTCAATGCAATGACAGCTTTTATCCGTCGCACCCGTGGACAGATGTTGTAGCTTCATGCACACAGCCTGTGTGAATAACAAGCTCCGAGACCTCAGTGACCAGCACGTCGAACAGCTCGTATATTGAATATGTGACAAAAATGCTGGGAGGCTCATTAGCTCTGAGATGCAGCAGCTCTGGAATAATGGCATGTTCTCAACTCAATTACATGGAAGTGTTGATAACTAAGCCTCCGCCACTTCACCAGCGACGACACACCCGGGCCAGAAAAAGGCAACACTGTACTGACATGCAAACACAGTTCTGCATGAATGATTACATTTTTCTAATCCGAAGGTCATGTTTTTATTTTAAATGGTGGATGGTTGTACAGACACGATATCATTAGAATGCTCATTTAACTGTAATCAATTAAAGAACAACCATGTAATAACATAAATTAAAAAAAAAAAAAAATCCAAATAACTTGTGTTAAATAATCATTAGCATTGGATTAACGCAGTGATTCCCAAAGTGAGGCTTGGGCTCCTTTGGGGTTGCAGAGATATGCAGGGGCGTGGCACAGAAATTAAAATGAAAAATCTTTAATATTTACTGTGAATTTTGTTTTCTTTTTTTACAGTGAGAATTTCTGTCTTTTTGGTTTTAAAATAAAGCAAAGCGATAGCATCTATCTACAAAAATGGGGACATTGCCGAAAAAGTTTGCGAACCATCAAACTTATACTGAACACTGTCATCATATTGGACAATTTATTATAAACTAAGGATAGAATTAATTAAAAATAATATAAGAAAAATAAAGATATGTAGCTTTAACCGTTCTTTGTTGTTTACAGGAAGTGAGCAGAGCTTTTACGCAGTGTTTGGATATAATTAAATATATAGCGCGATAAAGCAGATTCTGTGCCCTGGTAGTGTTTGGATATAATTAAATATATAGAGCGATAAAGCAGATTCTGTGCCCTGGTATTCTGGTATTTCTAGAAAGTATGAATAGAGGTAAACACCATCTTGGACAACCTACCTGCTTAGACTCTTAGTATTTCTTGACCTCACCTTCTGCACGCCGTCAGAGTTTGTTGTACTGTAATTACACCGGAGCTGAGGTGGTATGGATTTACCATTGCATTTTCGAAAGGGTTTTATTAGAAACGTACACTTTTAAGCCTGCCGTTGATACAAGTATGAATGAGCTGGATTTGACCCCTGAGTGCCACGTTGAACTGAACCTTCACCGAGAGCCAGTGGCTTCATAGAGAATCCTTGAGCAAACGGCAGACTGACATTATTGTTTGGCAGCTTATATTTCAACAGGGAATCAAGAAGATTGGTTCAGTACCAGCCGTAGGACAGAAAACAATGAAATATGCTGAAGACAAGGAGAGAAACAGCTGGCAGATAATAACTCCACCCAAGGAAAATGATTTTTTTATTAGATAGATATAAGAATTCATACATTTCACCATGTACTTTACAGTGGATAGCACTTAGAAAATACAGAGTTCTGGGACCTTTGAACTGGTTCTTAATCAATGTGATTTCTGCAGCTTTGCATCCAAATTACTATCATAACGAACCATATTGGACAGAAAATCTGAAAAATTGTACATTTCTACACACAGAATATTTACTTTTAATTATTTTAAAAATATGTTGTACATATGATTTTCATTGTTTTTTGTATAAACATTTCTGGAAATCGTCTCGCTATATTTGAATAGTTTCAAATTAAAAGCACCAATCTTACATTCCACACGCTAGACCATAGTCCAACATACGGTCCGTGGGCCCAAAACTGGACCACCTGGGAGCTCAGTACGGTCCGCTTGATGAATGTTGATAGTGAAAAAACACTGCATGTTACTGATGTTTTGTCAAACATCTCATTAAATATATGTATATATATATTCTGTGGTGCTTTGGCCCAGAGGCAATGTCTCTGTCATTGGTGTGGAACCCCAGGGTTCACCTCCTGGGCAAGTTTGAATCCCGGTCAGGGTGGTTGGTACCTTCCAGTGGACTCACCACCTGGAGGAAGGTTCAGGGGGGTTGGTACGGTGCAGTGTGATTTGGTTGGCGGTCATTGAGACTGCTTCCCCCGCGACCCGGTAACGGATAAGCGGATGCAAATGGATGGATATATATATTCTCATATATTTGTACATTTGCAGGAAAACAAAGGGGAAAACCATGGACTGCTTGTTGTTTATAGGTAATTATGTTATGATTGTACTTGAGTGCCCCACTTGACATCTAATCAAAACTGAGATGAGTTTGACACCCCTGTGCTAGACAATTGATTTTGTGTGCAAATTTTGCGATGCTGCGGAGGATAGAAGAAATAACTGACAGCACTACAATCACTGATCTGCAGGCACCTGTCTCCGATGGAGAATAAAAGAAAAAAAGAGAGGAAACAAAAAGAATGAGTGAGAATAAAAAGTTGTCCTAGAGATAAAAGGAAAAGAGAGAAAGGAACCTGTGGTCCAACACTAGTTTTCTGGCAACACCCCTCACATTTCCAATCGAATTTACCATCCTACCAATTTCTCTCTTCAACACAGATGAAGCAGTTTGTGTGGATGAGTCTCACATTGTGCTGCAGACTCACCAGATAAAAGACACACTTCCCTCAAACTGTGTAAATCTCTCTCTCTTTGCAACACTGGACAATCTACTTTCTGTTATTCTTCATTAGGGTCCTGAAAACAATCCATCGGCAATTAAAACTGTGTTCTCCTCCCACAGATGGGGTGGAGTGAGTCTGACAGAGTCTGATCAAGCTGAACTGACTCCTTATTGATCTTGGCGTCAAGTCAGAGCAGAGGCTCCGCTGTTTCCATGGCATAGGTCTGTGAAGTGTGAATGTGCTGTGGGAGAAATGAGTAGCAGAGACAGACAAAGTGAAAGGGCAAAAAAAAAAAAAAACATAGTTGCAGAGATTTCGTATCAGAGTTGGAAACCGCTCGTTAAATTGCCGGGAACATCTTGTCTTCTACTTTGTTTATCTTCAAACCTGCGCTTGTGATTGGAGTAAATTTGGGTGTTTTTTTTTTAGCCACAGCATATACAGGGGGTCCTCGGTTTTACGTCGTTCTCGATTTATAGCATTTTGTGGGGTATGTCGCCATTTCTATAACTGCTTTCACAGCCGCTTTCAAAGCATCACTAATTCTATTGTTTGAAGGCGATAGGTAGACACACAAAGACTATGTGAATTCCAAGCACCGTGCCCTGGCACGCTAACGTGCACCGTCGTGGAACATTTTCTTCATTTGTTTAAAAGCAATACATTATTTATTGCAAACAATTTATCTTTGTTCCTCTATGTGATTGTGACCTCCACCTTCCACAAGGTGGCAGCAGATGGCTTGAAAAAAATAGGAAAAAGTGCTGTTGAAGATCTTCATTGTGTCCTTCTTCAATTCTTGAGTATATCAGGGTTGTGTTCAACTAAACAGACCCAAGTTTTATACAGAGTACATTGTGAGTAATTTGCAACTATCCAGCCATCCATGATCTGTTTGTTGCTCTTTGCAGGGTCGTGGGGAGGGGTACTGGAGCCAATCTCAATTGGATAACAGCTGAGGTAAGGGTGCACCCTGGACAACCATGCTAACATGCGTACTTATAGTCAGTTTAGAGCAGCTATAGGCAAACGTTTTGAGTCATCGAATTGAAAGAAAGAAATTGTGTTCCACGAAATGCCAATCTACTTCCTGTATACTACACAGCTGACAGGAAGATGAAAAACATTCTCAGAGAAACACATTGTTTTCCACTTTCCATTCATCCTGCAGAGCCGTGCGGGGAACGTGGAAATAGTATGAGAGCTCTTCTACCGGGAAGCCTCTTAACACAATGCAAACTGAAGTGAAATGATGATTTTAAACCGTTTCTTTAACAATGCGAAAACCTTGGCATTTCTGATTTGTCATTGAAAGCACTTTCACAGCTTGTAGGCAGTGACGATAATGGGCTGAGAATGTGCGGTGTGAAAGATTTCAACTGATTCAAGGCCGACGGGCCAACGGGTTTACTAATTGAAATGACTTTTCATTATTCTTATCTAAACAACATTCAAATGCGACCCAAGCAACACTTCACTGGCAAACACGTCCACAGGTGGACCAGTCTCCGCCGTCAGTTTGCTGGGATCAGGTGCAGCGAGTGTACATGACGCAGATAAAACCCTTAGCGACCAGAGACGACAGATGGTGAAAAGATGTTCTGTCTATAATGAAGCCGGAGATTGTACTTCCTCTTTCTTTTCAGAAAACACAGTAATGACCCTTTCACCAAATGCGATGATGAATATCCTTTGATTTTTTTTTTTTTCTTTAAAAGCGATATAATTACTTGTGGCATTAATTTGACATTTCTGGAGAAATTCTTAAGAGGGTTTGACAAGAGGGTCTCTGTCGCAATTGCTGCGGTAAAAGTATGTTAGTTTCACATCCATTATACACGAGGCTCTGATGGGTTTCTGACTCATTACTGTGGACACCACTTAGTGAGGAGGTGAAATCTCCGGCCAATTTCAAATCAGGGCGAATCATGAATAGTTTTACTATCTCTGTATTAAATCAACACCAGTTTCGAAATGATCACTGGCATTTTAGAAACTTTGTTTTTGTGGAGAGATAAATAATGTAACAAACTCTAGGAATAAAGGCTAAAACTGAAGACTGGTGTCAGACCACGTATGAGCCTCGGGATGAAAACGAAATTGTCAAATATGGATTCATGACAGACAGACAGACGTTACTGACTTATTCCATAAAACCAAAACATAAACAGTGGAATCTCGAGATATGAACATAATCCGTTCCAGGACCAAGCTTGCAACTAGAGGTGCTTGTCTCTTAAATTATTTTTTTCCCCCTAAGAAATAACAGGAAAAAACTTCATCCGTTCCGGCCCTCTAAAAAACTCCCTTATTAGTGTTAATAACATTGGAAAAAAAACGTTTTTAGTTGCTATAGAGACTTAAACACACAAAAAATTGTAGTATATAAAGATTCCTGTGATATAAAATAAAATGTGTTTTTAATTATGAGTTCTTATCTTCGAGACAGACGATGCAGTAGCGGCTAATGGAGGAGGAGGGATGGAAGAGAGTTGGCCCGTACGTAGATACACTTGGTTCCATAGCGTACTTCCATAAACTTAGAATTAACTTCTTTTTTTTTTTATAGCGTACGTTACACGTACACTACGTAACTTCCATAAACTTAGAAATAACTTCTTTTTTTTTTTGCTTTTTTTCGATTTGTATTCTTTCTTTAGCAGGCACCACAAGACAACAATAAGGAAGACTCGTGGGAGATGTCGACAAACGTGAAGGGTTCGGCCACCTAGCGTCGGCGTCGGTAAGTGTGCTCGTATCTCAAATCTTTACTCGTATCTCGAAGCAAAAATTTGCTCGAAGGCTTGCTCGTATCTCGAAATACTCGTATGTCGGGACGCTCGTATCTCTAGGTTCCACTGTAGACAATAAGTGAGTAAGAAAAAAATAACAAAGAAATTTAGAGGTACACCAAAAAAGCGAGCAAATGACCTAGGGTAAAACATAGTCCTTGATCTAGAGCAAGTTCTCCCAGTCTGCCATTGCTAGTGTCCCGTTCTTTGCTATGATATTCTGGGAGGAAGACTGAACCTCTGGACACGGAGGCTCCGAAAGTTAACTCTGTAGTTGGCTTAAAGCTAGAGACACAAACTGGTGCTGCAGAGAGAGGAATTCTGAGATAATGGCCATCACCCGCTCCTCACAACTGTCACTGGACAGACAAAACATGATCCGTGGCAGAACCCTGACAGTATTGTACCCACAGACATACCTAGGAGCTCATTCGTCCCCAGGGCCATCCACCTTGTCTAGAAGAGAGAAGTAAGAAATTAAATTTTCATCAAGAGTCTGTCTCTCTCTCTGCCCTCATCGTTTTATCGCCATGTGTCATGTGCAATCTGTTTACTCTACACTTTTTTTTCTGCTTCTTGGTGAATCACAGACTTTGTGTCCTACGGCAAAGCAGCAGGCGAAGCAGGGAAAGCAAGTTTCTAATAGCATCTCTGTAAAGAGCTGCACTGTCACCACACAGTCAGGAAAGGATGCCAGTAGCATCTCCGTTGCGATACGATACGGCTACAGAGCTTTTTGATACCGAGTGTATGCTTGGCAATGAGCACCAACTCTGATTCTAATTTAAGAGTCCATGTACTATCAGTCCTGGATTTTACTCCCTGTAAAATATAAATGTAAAACTGTTGGGGAGGGGTTCGTTTGTTTTTATATTGTTCCATTGTTGCAGTTCCCTTCTCCCACCACTGTTGTACCCGAGACCATCCTGCATGTTGTATAATAATGTTATTTCTATTTTAACATAGGGACATATATGTGTGTTAGTATTTATTTTAGTTTGTTTCAGGAAAAATAATGTATCTAGATACCTACCAGTCTATCGCTTTCTGTATTCCGGAAAGTGCGTTGTCTGCAGAAAGGCAGAGAAATGTTTCACAATGGGAACGTATAGTTTTTTCATGTAAAGGACTACAGCTCCCTCGTGTGGCGAAAAGACAATAATACATCCAGTATTTCAACAGCACTGTAGCACCAGTTTATGTGGTACTAATCTACGAATCTCAGCAGCGTCCTCTACTGACTCGCTGTTGAACCTCTCTGTGTGTAATGTAGGCTCAACAGCACGTGGTACGCGTCGTTTCGTAGGTTTGACGGTCATGTAAGGCGAGAAGACAGCGTCGTTGTAATTCTTTGTCTTTTAAAGCGGTATATGTGTGCTGAACGTCTACTTAAACAGAATTGCAGTCCCGTCGTAAGCGCAGGCGCGGTGGCCAAGTGGTAAGGCGTCGGTCTCGTAAACCGAAGATCGCGGGTTCGAACCCCGTCCGTGCCTTTTGTGTTCATATGAAACGCGGAAGGTGACCTAAATAGTTTTTAAAAGTTTTACGTTACTTCTACGTTCATTATTCGTTTTTTTAGTTTATTCATTAGAACCTTTATGATTTGAGTGTTATCAAATCTATATGTGCAGATCTGTCTTCCTAAATTTCCCACGTTATACTGTATATGAGGCTTTTACACAATAAGAAACTTCTTTACCATTTTCTGCTGTGGTTCTCATTCCTATTGTTATTTTAATTTTTATACTTATTTCTATTCCATTCTTTTTTGAATTTTTATTTATATGTTTTTTGTCAGTCTTTTACCGGCTCTCATTTTTATTCTTCAAGTGTATTTTGTTTGTTTATTAATTATCGAATGGGTCATGGGTTATATATATTTTTATTTTCACACCTGCAGTAAATCCTCACTTGAATCCCTTTACCCCTTTCCATATTTAAGCTGCACACTCAGCAGTGGAACAGTTTCCTTGGTAACGGTCCCTGTGAATCAGGTGTAGTCCATGCTGCGGAGGATCATTATGTTCACTTTGTGGACTGACACGTGATTGAAGCAAATAACTTGACACTGCTTCCGTGTGGGGGGAAAGAAACACTTACTCAGCAGTCCGTAAAGTAGTAACACACAAGAGGATACCCTGAGTTTGAGGGGGAAAGGCGACTTAGTATAGAATATACTAATATAGAACTCAGAAGAGAAGTGCGGTAAAGTGGTAGTTTGTCTGTGAATCTGCTGTAATTAAAATAATAAGAAGAATAATAATTTAAATCTTTATGAAAACTTTAAATGTTTATATGTATATTTATTTAATGTATTTTTTTTAATTGTAAATTTAAATTTTTAATGTAATGTTTAATTTGTATTCAAATATATATTTATATATATATTACATATATTTTACATGTATTCTCTAATATATTTTTCCTTTTTCTGCTCTCCTGAGTTTAATTTAGATTCAGAATAGAAAAGTGTATTTATCCCTGTGAGAAAAATAAAGGATTAGGAATTAAATAAAATAAAAAGATGAGGTAAATGTAAAATAAAGCATAACGAGAAAATAACAGAAAAAACAAAATAATGAATATACAGTGAAGTAATGTGGTGCCCATAGTAAGCGAACTAATTTGTAAGTATACTACTGGTTCACAGTTGAAAAATATTAATTGGCATACAAATGTTACACTTTAAAAAAAAGTAAAGTACACACCACATATACAACTGTTAAACAGTTGAGAAAAATTGCACTGGTGGAACAAATATAACACTGCTGAAATATATTGGATTTTCCTAATGTAAAATAGTTGGAAAATACTGCATTGTCTTAAATATATTACAGAAAAATAATTAAACTTGAATACAAATGTAACAACGACCAATTTTCAGCGATTTCACCCAGATTCTGGCAGTACATAGTGCACATGCGCACTGCGGTCTACTCGCACTACAGTGAAAATGAATGTGTTTCGTTATGCTGCCTCCAACCCGGGAAAAGCAATTAAAGGCAGTCGTTTAAATAGATCTTTCGCAGGTCCTTTTAAACGCCACATACAGTAGCAGGGTCGGCGTTTTTGAATTCCTCACGTAACCTTCAAGCTGTGTGAAAGTCAGAAAACAGGGAGAGAGGGAGAAAATTATGTGTAATGGCTGCTTGACAGGGTTCGTTTTTTAATTTTAACACTCTGTGTGGAGGGAATGGTTTATACTGTTTAATTTATAAATCATTTTTAAAAGAATAGAATGCTCCCAGTTCGCCACACATTTCAAACCCCTCTTCATTGAAATATTGTTAATACCGCCCTCTAGTGGAATAATTCGGTAATGTTGATTCCCCCGAAATAGTAAATAAACTTCGAGTTTAGCGAGATTAAGGGTTGGATTAAAGATGGGTTTACATCCAGCGGACGATTTCAACCTGTTCTTTGAGTCTTTCAGGGGAAGTCACAAGCATTTCAACCTGTTTTTGAGTCTTTCAGGGGAAGTCACAAGCATGAGGAAACACATTGAAGTGCATCAGATACCGTATAATTTATTACAAATAGAATAGAATAACAATTATAAAAGTTTTTTTTTAGTTTTTCTTTTAACCTGAAAAAATATTGATTAAATATTAATAACATTGAATATTATTTGCATAGAATGACATTTACCATAACAATTTCAACATTATACATCTATGTTTATGTATTATACCGTTGTTTTGTTTACATTTTGGTCATTTTGTCTATTAAATTACCACTTCAGTACAAGTAACAAAGGCCACAAACTAAGACCTGGAAATACTGTTTTAAAAAGAAACAAAAGTGAAACAAAAGAAAGACTAAAACACCCTTGACTGCTGCACACTGACGTTAATCTTAAACAAGACTTTTAGCGTGTGTGCGTGATTTCTGGGAACAGGTTCCGTCAGCTCAGAAAACAGGTTGTACCACGTGACGAGCCGTTAGGAGATAAAACCCAGTACCTATCCGGTGCATCACTTTGAAAAAACATACACGTAGGCGTGATGCAGAAAGTTTATTATAACGGGAATGCAGTTATGTCATTTTTAAAAAGCTTGAATTTAGTTTTTAAAGCAAATGTTTTTTTAACAGTACGAGTGAAATTACAATTTAAGTCAAGAGTTGGATTCGTGAATAATTAATATATAGTTTTTCTCAGACTTGTGTAGCAAGTATAATACACATCGTTTTAAAGGGTTAAAATGCCTTCAATGGTCATTTAAGCATGATGAAATATTTGTACTGGCTGTTTGCTCTGTTGTTGTTTGTGCAGTATTTATACTACAGAGAAACTGCTTTTTCTGAAATATCTGGGTGTTTTTTAATAGAACACCAAACACTGATGTGTGAACCTAAAGACAGACCTAAAACAAGTTCACAGCAGCAGTGACATCTGGAAAAAGTTGTTTACTGTGATCACAGACATGATTGTATTCACTGGGTGTCTGGGAGGAAATGGAGGTTTTAGACTTGACAGCAAACTGAATGATGTCCTTCAGCCAAACCCCTAAAACCTACCGTGGTCGGCGGGCAGTAGTGAGATTTAGTACGGGAGGATGTTTGAAAACCACATTGAACAAGAGGCCGTTCATTTATTAGAAAGCTTGTAATTAAAGGCTCTTTTCCTTTCTAACAAAAACATCTAAATAAAACTGCACAGACTTTCCCTTACTGAATTTATTTCAGAAATACACATACAATACATGGGTGACTAACAGACACCCATACACCCATTGCAAAGTTATAAAATGCCTTTAAATGTCAATCAAATGTTTAATATGTAGCACAGATTACATTTAGATTGCAAAGTTATAAAATTCCTTTAAATGTCAATCAAATGTTTAATAGCATAGTAGCGCTAGTTAAGTCATAGCAAAATAAATCCAAAATATTAATATACAGAAATACAGAAAAGAAAAAGTAAGAACCAAGAATCAGTCAAAAATGAGTACACATTCGCCACAACTAGTTTATAAAAAGTAACTAAACTTAATCAAATGATTTTAAGATTTGGCTGTAAATAGAAAAATGGTTTGATTTCTAAATCAACTTCAAACAATCCTCCAAATACGTCGAGGGGAACCTGAAGCTAACATCTAACAGGAAGAGTCCAACCTGTACCCATGTTGTCCTAGTGTTCAAATTGCGTCTAAACTCTGTCAGGCATGTAGACACACAGGTTTGGTCTTCCACCGTGGACTGGGTTGGAATGAAAACAGGCAGCATTTGAGAGCACATTACTGTGTCCTCTGTGTGTGAAAACTTCACTTCGTACCACACAGAGTTGACAACAGTGGGAATACTGTGTAAACATTTGGATTCATTTGTTAAACCCAATGAGAGCAAAACATTTTTTTTATAATATTATTATAAAAAGGAACCTCTCCAGGGTTGGCCTTTTCCAGATGTAAATTTAATAAATGGTTGGTACACCAGTGACAACCTGATCGTGTTTTAGAAAGCCAGGCATCCAGAATCTAGCTCAGGCATGGGCAAACTACGGCCCACGAGCCGGATGCAGCCCATTTGGCGTTTTAATCCGGCCCGACCAACTTGTCCAAATTATATTACTAATTTATAACATTACTCCCTGCAATACCCGCATTTCCCCAATAGATTGTGTAGAGAAAGATTTTTAGCGTTTTAGCCTTTATGCATGACTTTTTTCCGTGTAGGGGGAAGTGTTGTGAGAACTAGCAACCTGATCTGTCCTCACTGTTAAACATCTAATCTGGCCTCACCACAAGAATGCTCAGGTTCTGTGTTCATTGTGCGGGCAGACACTGCTGCTGTGACCTTTGTTATCTTTGTCAAAGTGAACGTGGCGTGTGATTCAGGATCAGAATCTTAGCTTTTTAACAGGGTTTTACTATTTATGTTTAAGGCACTTGTGTTGTTAATTTTTATATTTTATTTGACGATGTTGTAGCTTTTTGGGGATATTTATTCTTTATCTTCTCAGTATGTCTTTTTTGTCAATCCTGTCATAACCTTCTGGTTTTATTCAATTCTTTTTATTCATTTGTTGTTTTGTTTTTTTTAACCAATTTTATACTGTTTATTGGCTCTTTTTAGTTATTTTTAATTAAGTGCCACTAGGGGTTGTTTTTAGCATAGTGTGTGCTGATTATCTACACCTTTTTCCATACAAACTTTATTCTACTTATACCAACTTTTAGCCATTTGGGTGCTTACTTTTAATTTTTTTTAAAAAAAATTGCATATATTGTGTTTTACAACTTTTTTATATTTCAGTCTTTTTTGGCTAACGATTACTGGGCTTGCCTTGCGGTAAATTATCTCATTAGCATCAGCATTTGCCTGTTGTTTTTAACCAACGTTTAAATCATTTCAGGATTTTTACAATATATAGTATAGTCTGGGCTAAATTCTTTTACCTGACAATATAGCTTAGTAAATTTTAAGCTTTTAGCGCATAGCTTAGCTGTACAATCAACACCTTTAAAGTGGCTGTATTGTTTGCCGCTAATGGAGTGGCATGTAAAATCTTAATGTATTATGTCAATGACATGCAGTACATACTGTAGCAGTGAAAGAAAGAAAAAAAGTTTGTTTTGTGCTTCAATAACCAAAGGTGTTCATTGAAGATGTAGCAAACGTAAGGACTATAAAATGTTACCTTGATAATTTTTTTTTTTACATAAAAATGACTATTCAGATAAAAATGGCTGGAGTAGCCTGATGTCTGACTATACAGATATATTTCCTTAAAATAATAAAAACCATTGTTAGATTCCAATCAGGACTCTGAATATAAAAATATTAAATCCTGCTTTTGTGACTCTTTCAGGACAAAATCAAAGCAGGTCCTTCAGCTAGTTACAAGTTAGATGGTCGTGCCCACACATAAAATTTGGCCAAAATTTGTAAGATAAATCAAATCTGGCTCTCTTTAAGCATTCGACAAAATCTCTGTCGCACTCGCACAGCAGTTCTTCACAGTGGTCCTCCAGGTCTTCTGCAAAGGAGAACAGAGTCAGGAGAAGTTGGTTGGAAACATGATTTGTGAAAGTAGTCTTCTCGAGAATACAGATATGTTTATGGGATCAATAAAGAACCCATTTTCTTGGTGCTCCGAAGTGTAGACTCATTAGGGTTGTTCTCTTAATGAGGTTTAGTAGTGCCATTGAGCAATGTACTCTTGGATCACATGGGATCTGGGGGGCATTTGCATTCACATAATTACCATATTCAAATGCAGTTTTTGCTGCATGTCTACAGTCTACGGAGACTGACAGCAACCACGTTTTGTTTTTTTTTAAATGGATAAATATATCTTATACAAGTATGTGTTTATTCACATTGACTTGGCCAATTTTGTGATTTGCTGCACCAACAGGGGCCAGAATTTTTTCCCTTTTTTTGATTAACATTCATATTTGATGTTTATTTTTGAGTAAACATCAGATTGGAGGGTTGCATTTTTTAGTATTGTTTATAAAAGTAGGTGTGCCTCAAAAACCCATTCAATATTTGTTTGCTGTGGTACTACAGACAGTGTTCTGTTACACACACACACACATAATACACAGTAAAGGTTCAGTACCGCACTCAGGTATCTCGTCATCACACTTCCAGTGATACTGGGCGGTTTTGGTTTTGCAGCCTTTGTCTTCGGCCTCTCCATAACAGCAGTCATGACGGAAACAACATCTGCGTTGATATTAAGCAACAACAACAAAAAAGTAAAGTATTATGGGTGTGTCTTGATGAGGAAACTGTGAAACTTATTTATTCTAGATAAATTCCAACAATTGTTACTACTCTATCTTTAGGCCTACCTTTTGATATTCACAGGACTAATCTTATTTGTACAAGAGTTTTGGATTTCTGTTACCTTTTTGATTATGTTTAGCTACTGGCTAGCTTTAACCAATGTCTGTTGTATTTGTGTCTTTGCATTAGGAATGGCTCAAGACGATACTTAGGATAGGTATCGGTGTCCAATATTGGTGACCATTTCAACATTGAACATCTAAAAAAAAACAACTGTAGATCATCCGATCAGATACTTAAGCGCAAATACTAGTTGAAAAACCTAACCTGAAAAACTAAATTTGCATATTGTAAACATAATGCATAATCCTAAACCTGTTGGTTATGTTTTGTGTAGTTGGAACACAAGGAACACTTGGGTCAAAAAGTAATACTCTGATTGTTGTCTGCCAAGTTTTTATTTTGGATTTCTTTCGGGGTGGTTGATCAGAACACATTGTTCCAAGAAAACACTTACTTATGCACATATATATACTGTATATATACACATATATACATACATATACACACACATATGTATAAATTGGAAGTTGAACTTGTGGTTATTGTACAGATTATTGTTGTTATTGCACACACTCCCTTACCCGCCAAACGTCTCATTCCTGGTTTCCCAGTGTGATTGATGACTGTAGAGCTTGTTTAGTAGTTTGATTCTACTGAGAATCTTTTTTTTTTTTCTGTTAACATAAGGGCACGTGGGCACATACATTCACACAGCTTTTAACAATTAGAATTTGTTATGTCTCTGACATAATTTCCGGACCATCAGTAGCAAGTTATGCAATATGCAGACGACCTGTTTATCCCCACCTTACGACAATCCTGCTCAGTGTTTGTGTTTGCTTATGCCAAACAGAACCAGCGCTATGTTACCCTCCTTTCTGAAGGATGTAGTTAGTGCTCCACGCCCTTTACTGTAAGAAAAGTAATTATTTAAAAACAAATGCCGCTTCACTTCCTTGTGGACTCCCTTTGAGTCAGTCTGTACCTTTTTGTACGTATGTGACCTTTCGAGTAACCTTGCTTTCGAGTAACCTTGCTCTTCTGAACAGTAACCTTTCGAGTAACCTTGCTCTTCTGAACACTGAGGGGAAAGTGTCAGTAAAGCACACTGTAGCATTATATTTGTTTTCATTTTACTTCGAGGTGTTTTCATCTTTAGGTGAGAACATATTATTATGGCACAGCTTTGCATCAGATCCCTTTCTTGATTCATCTTGGGACTTACATAGTGTCAAGAGTTGGGTGGTCTACATGGTGGGCGGGGGCTTTTTCCACTGTTTCTCTGCTGCACCACCACCGAACTAAGTATAGGACCTTTAAATCGGTGCACATCTATAATCATATTGAATTTGGTTTTGTGCCGTATTTGATATGACAGCCTTTCACATTTAATTTAAGTGAAGGACTGAGAGTTGTATCGACTCATCCCTGGACAGAAGTAAAGTGACTGCACTGTGGTCTTTGTGGCATCGCTGCTATTTCAAAGGGAGGGAGATTTCACAGCAGATACTTAACAGTCACTTTGTTTGTGGGGCTTCGATGTCTTGCGGCGAGGAGGGAAAAGCAAAAGGTGGCGATTAGAATGTGGGTGTGGAATTTTTAGGGTAATTTTAAAAGAACAGCTGGACACATTTAGCCGGATGGATTTGGCCACCATTCCCTCCTTCTGTCCCATTTGTGGTAGAGCTGACTCGTCAAGAATACAGAAACATGTGGACGCGGGAAATAATGAACACGCACCCGTCCCTGATTCGAAGGGCAGAACACCACTACAGCCCGCTGAAATATATATATAACTCACAGGATGCCCAAATATAACTCGTTTTCATTTAGCGTATCATTAGATATTCAGACACAGCTCAGATTTGACAGAAGTATGATTTTAAAGTGCTGCCTTACCGATCCGTCTGGTCTTTTGGCATTCCTTGACCACCCAGGCCACAGTAGCATCCGTACAACATGTAGTCTAAGGCACTGTTGTGCGTGCTGCATTTTATCATGCCTGCGAGCTCCATTAATCCTCTCTTCACCCGCAGGGATTTGCGTGTTGCCACTGCAGCTGTAACCACTGCAAAGAGCAAACAGAAACATGAGAGGACGCACAAGTCAAACACTGCATTTGCAAAAAAAATCTCTTTTTATTTGCCTGTGTATTTTCAGACTTGTATTGTCTCTATTCGGAAGTAGCTTAATTACATTAACATAATCCGGAAAGTGTTCAGAGTCTTTGAAAAAGTTACGTTAAATGTTTATAACATTGAAGTTCTGAAAGACCTCGTCAAACCAGTTTTGACTCTGTCTGCAAACCCCTATAAACAATACAAAGCACATGAAAAAGGAAAATAGTGCAAACGTTTTACAAAACATATAATTAACAAAGATCAGTATCATCATCATCATAGAGTAGCAGTCCCCAACCTTATTTTTATATACCAGTGCGGCCCAGTACCAAATGACCTGCAGACAGGCACTGGTCCCCGAACCAGGGATTGGGGACCCCTGATAGAGCACTGTTCATTTTTAGAGAATATGTTTCAAGGGAAAAAAAATTCATATTTACACAAAAAACATATAGTACAATAGAACGTCTAAGCACGTTAATGTGTCAAATTTAGTTTGATAGATAGCACTTCAGTTATGCGGGCTTGTTGTCATTTGTAGTCGTCTATCTTGATGAGTAAATATGTGTAAATGATTTGAAGATTCAGGGCCTGTCAAACATTTTTGTGTTTTTGATTAACTTGGAAGACCCAGTAGATTCTGCTCTGTCTTTAATAGATTACAACTGGCAAGTAAAGAATACATTTGAAAAAACAACCTGCCCTAAGTCCTTAACAAATACATGTGTTTCATAAATGATATCCATACAGTGTGAAAAAGTAGACATTTCTGGAACATTATTAGCCAAACGGCTTGTGTCTGCCCAGGCTGACTACTAAACCGTTTCAAAAGTGAATAAACTTCATGCAACAAAGGCACTCACTCACTTTACAGCTCCAGGATTGAAGTAATGAGGAAGTAAATGCTATTTTATGTAAGAATAATAACATTTATGTCGTTGACTTTCCGCCGGAGAATAACACTCTCACTGAACTGCCATAAACAAAAACAGCAGCACTTTTCCCCCAGCGCTGATGCCTCCACGGACTCCCTTCTGTGCACTTTTCCATAGTCAGAGGAAATAATAAACTTACCAGACAACAGCAGGAGCAGCCGGTGAAGCGTAGCCATGACACGAACCAGGCAGTTCAGCTCCTCACCAAGTGCCGCTCACCTCCACTCTGCGTGAAGTGAGTGAAGTGAAGTGAGTGAAGTGTCAGGAGCAGAAGTGTGAAGCTTTTTTTAAAAACACGTCTCCTAAGCATCAGTGTTTGGCCACGCGCTAACCCTACTTTTTAGAACTTTGGCGCCCTCTGTCGGATACAATCTGTAGCTACCAGAAGGCCATGAAGCGTAAGTATGGGTGAAATCAGAAATCTGACTTTAACCCCAACACATGAGAAATATTTTAAACTCTCACATAAGTGTTTTCGTGGAATTAGTACATTGTTTTTTGATATGTTGAGAATATTTTTTTAGATTATTATTCAATTTTCTGCTAGGATTCTCGGATTTAACACATTTTTTAAGTTGTCAGAATGCATGTAATTAACGGGGCCCTAATCAAGTACTACAAAAACACCATGGTACAAATAAATACAGAAAAATATTTATAATATGATATAAAAAAATTTAAAAATTAATTATATAAAAATCATTCTAAATAAATTACAGAATAAAAAGAAAATAACAATATACCTACATAATGTACATGTCTGCATTTTCTAGATGCAAATTTGACCTCAGACTTTAGAGAAAAAACATTTAGTAATATTAAGAAATCTAAGCAAAAACATAAAATAATTTAGATTCTTCTTCTTCTCAATTTATTTCAGCAGCAAAAACTAGTAGGTATTCTACATTAATGATACATTTCTAAGAAGTGTTTGGATAACTAGGAAATGTCAGCCTTCACAAATGGATTTGATTTGAGAGCAGAATACTCTCTCACATAAAGATAAATGCATTACTGATCCCCTCTGGAGACTATACTATCCGAAAACCTCAGAACAAAGGCGTCTAACACAGAACAGAGTGCGGTTCTGTCATTGTCTAAACAATAAGGCATGACTTCATTTCTTACAAGGCAAATACAGCCAGAGTTGATTATGGTGGTAATCAAACTAAATATAGCTTTTCCTGTATAATCTGGAGGTCCACTCCCAGCAGTTTTCTTCTTCTGTAAATAAATCTGTCACTGTAATAAAAACAGCAGAGGGTCTGCATCGTCATGATCAAACACTCAGGACAGACTATAGCTATCATCGTCATCACTCTCACAACCATTTACTGCACCCACAGGGTAGAAGAGAATAAGATTGTTGTTGTGGCCGTACACTGTGTACAGTGAGGGTGAGTGGAATAGAATATAGAATGGATTAAAGTTAATGGAGACCATTAAAAGGGTATTAAGTATAGCTTTTAGCAGTCTGTTTCTATGTGTACAGCAATAAAGACTGACGGGTTATTTTTGTTTGGGTTTTTTTAGATGCCATGTACCAAATATGTAAGCAAGGTCAGATCCTAGGTCAGCGGTGTCAAACTCATTTTACGTTCAGGCGTGGAGGCCGAAGTTTGAGGTAAAAGCTCTTTCTGATTCTATTTGTTCTGTTCTTCTTCATTTTGGACCAAATCCATGAACCACAGGTTTCCAAATCCCATCCTCAGAATGTGCTGCCTTGCCTTCAGCAGTCAGGAAACATTTCATTTTTTTTTTCAGGAGCAGTGCATACAATTGGTATGACTTACTGAAGCATTATTGTAAGTTGTATTTTTTGTGACTATAAACTTGTTTTTTTCTTTTGTTCATATCATTTATTTTCAACAGGCTTATCCTCAATACCATGATGGCTCAAGAAAGCTTGGGAATATTTGTTCTGCTGCACTCCTGTAAAAGTAGTTTCTGGGGGATTTAGCCTGTTTTAGTCTCTTGGGAATAAAGAGCCTTTGTTGAGCTTTTTTTTTCAATAACGTTTCAGTGCCAAGGCTGTTCGTTTGACAAATTGCAGCATTGATCCAGGAATGGATCGACTGTAAGAACCCTGTCATATCTTTGTTTTCCATCTTTCTATTATGGTCTTTGAAGGTATATTTTCTGCTCCGCCACACTGCACTTCACTGTCATCCATAATGTGATAATGTCAGGACAGCTGAATCACAAAAGACATGTGGTCCTGGTTGTGATAACAGAGGGTATGTTCACTGCCCTTTTTTTTCTTTTTCCTGGTGTACGATTTAGTTCCACACTCATTGTTCTGCACTCTGCGAGATAAACACTGCATCCCGACTGTTATTACATCTGCCACGGTGACTGCACTGCATCAGCGGATGCATCCCTCGTACGTCTCCACCCGGCCAATCCACTTTGACAAAGCAAACAGCCAACATAAAGATCATATCAAGATGAATCCACCCCGAATGACAATGTGATGTCACTGTGAAGCTCGAATAAAAAAGGGAGCATTTGTATTCCTGAGATTGGAAATGCATTGCAGGGCAATAAATATAGGTTAATTATTAATGCTAAATTGACTACAGGTGACCATGTGATTCTGAACAACTGTGGGTTCAGGGCATGTATAATTAACTAATTCATGTAATTTCCCTTTGTTAATGTAATTTTTCCTTGCTGCTCTTGCACATGTGACTGCCCTAACCCTAACACATGGAGGATATCATTTTTATTAGTTTGATTGCATTAAAACAAAAATAGAAATGCTATTGGAATAATGTACATTAATATAATTTGGTATAAATAAATATATATGTATATTATTATTCAGTGACCAGTCTTTGCTAATTAGAGTCACTGGTGTTCACTCCAAAGATCTAGCCGTTTTACGGATATAAAAACATTAATTTTAAAGCAGCAACATGAATACATTTTAAAATGGAATTTTCTATCTATTCAAAGAAATAGAATTAATCAGGATCTGGGAGATTAGTCTCTTTCTTTTACATAAACGTTTGTTTTATAGGCTCAGTAATATGTATATTATTATTCAGTGACATAAACGTTTGTTTTATAGGCTCAGTCGGATGTAAGAAAAAAAGAGAAAGAAACAATTCACGTCGTTGTGATACGGTGCTTGGTGTAATTGTTCTGTAAACAGTTCTGTTTTGTCTGTGGGATACTGTAGTGTCCAACCCCTGACTGCAGGGGGCAGCAATGCGGCGATGAGGCTGGATACTGTGCTGGTTTTTCAGCGTAGTAGAAGAGTAATGAAAGCGCGGCCTTCAGCAACACACTTATCTCGCTAAGTTATTATTTTTTTGTTTTGACGTATAAACGGTAACTTCCTTTCAGAAACCGATCTGAAGATGTGCTCGGACTAAGTACCCATTCATGTGAGTATATACGATTGTCGCCACTTGCTCTGCGAACATAATTTTCGGGTCTAAACAAAACATGAAGCCGAATATGTATAGATCGCTATTGTTTGCGTTGGGAGGAACTAGTTTTTACTAAACTTGGACATGCCTTTACTCTGAGATTGAGGCTGCTTCTGCTTAACATGGTCGTTTAAAAAATTGGAGATGCCGAAGACTGCTTGTGTAACCCAGTGTCAGAAACATGTAATTGTTGTTGCTGGACAAAGTGACGTTCGGTTTACCTTTGCTATCAACCGAAGCACAAACGACACGTCTTAACGTTTATAACACACGTGCACTAAATGCTACGTCTTTACTGTTTTTTCAACTCGTTATTGCGCATTTGAACGATGGGGCTGTTGTCGTCATAATATTGTATGGTTTGTTTATTTTTGTCCGTGTCAACGTAATTTTAAGAGGTTAATGTTTTTACGCTTGTGAAAAGTCTGACTTACGCGCCTTCCTGATGCTAACACGGAATTGCTACAATGTTTGCCGTTATAGAACATAGGCGTATATCTGAAAATATATAGTTTCATAAGTAATGCTAAAGAACAGCAGGTTAAAAAAAAGCTGCCGTATTTACTTGTTTGTGCAGTTAACAATATAAAAAACAATTTCAATGTCACTCTTGGTATTTATTTTGTAGAAAACACATCACAACTTTGTCGTCATCACATGAACTTTTTGACAGTCATAACAAACACATACATCTTTTATAGTTTCTTCATGCAATTTCTGCGACATAAAGTTGTACCTATTGCGAATAACTGTGTGACGTTCAAACTTGTTGACGTTTAAATAGTTTATTTTTCTGTTCCACACTTCATGTGATGACGCGGAAGCATTAAAACACAATATTGTTATTTATACTTGTGACAAATTACTGTACTTGACAGCAGAACCTGTTTAAGTAACAACAAGGAATATATGCTCACTGTGTGTTTGGGGATTTCTATAATGCTTGTGACTATTTTTATTTACAGCAATAACTAGTAAAAAAGAAGAAAAATAAATTGTGATTCAGTGAATGGTGTCATTAGGTGTTAGGTATGAGAAATGTGCCCAACCCAAACTGGCACACGCTAATTTAATTTTAGTAAAGCTTCAAAAGGGAAGCTCCTTACCACACAAACGCAGAGACTTATAGGCATTAAAACTCAAAAGGCTGATTTGATTAAAAAAAAACCTGCCACGATATTAAAAAGCTATGCGTATAAAGAAACATACCCAATATCAAAACATTTTACGTAGTTTCCTTCCTGTTGGTTGGGAAAATAACTTTTTGTATTTGTTTTGATCTGTTGTGCTCACAAACTCACTTGTCATTTACCTCTTTTTGGTTAAGCATCGGAGGATGTCAATAGCTGCTGTATAAAAACTGAAGCTCTCAATTTGGTCATGAAAAAATACCATAAATGCTCTGCTGGTTTTGGCAGTAATTTGGTAGGAATTTAGATCTGTGGAAATTTTTTTCCCTAACTTTATAAACATGTTTTAGGTGTTCTTTCAGAAATTAGATACATCCTCTAGAAGGCCATGGAAAAGTTTCACCAAAGATATTACACAACAGTAAACCAAACACTAAACAGCCTGGCTCTGGTGATATGATTATCTGGTTATTTTCCAGTTGGACAGTGTTAGTGTTTTTCTGTGGCCTCATTTTGCAACCAAATCTTACAGCAGCAATTGATCTGTCCACTTCTTTTAAATCTAGTCATTTACAAGAACCACCTAGTTTTATATATCAGAAAACATCAAAACTGTGTCTACTATTCTTTAATAGCAAAAGAATGATGTAAAAATAAATTATGGAAGATAGATTTATGGGAGATGACGACATTACCTTGAATTGCCGTAGGACGAGAACCCCCTGTAGTTATCTCATCAAAAGTTGATGGTGATGAAGCAAAGCTGGCCAATGAAATTACAACTATAATAATAATAATAAAAAAAAAAATAGCCCTGCGTCGATTTAGACATACTACTTAGAAATGCATGGGATCAAAGGTGTACTGCACTAAAACGTTTTTTAACCTTCTTTTAGATGTTTCCCTTTACCATCACCGTCTCGTTTCGTCAGCCCCTCCACTAACTTGTGTCAAATGCAACCTTTTAACAATTTACACACGTACAGTTGCTGCACTAAGTATAGTACTATAGTCAGGTGGCTTTGTAGGTGCTCGGCTAAAGCAGGTATAGTCAGGTATGGTTGAGCTGGCTTTGTAGGTGCTCGGCTAAAGCAGAAAAGACCAGAATTTTGTAAAACTCTGTAAAGTAGGAGCAATCAAGTGTGTATTTGATTTGTTAGTGCAACTATTAACTGCTACGGCAACAAAATATTTTTTTGTAATCCTGAAGCTTTACAGGACATTATTAAATACCTTGTATTGCCTTTAAAAAAAGATGATGTGTTCAGTTGGTTTTTGTCGTTGTCCATACTTTTACCTGTATGATGCATCATTTAAATAACCATATTTGCATACAAGTATTTTTTTTTACTTTTGCCCCTTTTTTCTTAAAGGGCAAAATTTGTTGGATTGTAATGTTAAAAAGTAGACTAATTCTCCAGCATTCGTTTAGGCTTTATTAGTGCGACAGGTTGTATAGTAAATAACACCTCTGAAAAATAGTTCCTTTGTGCAATATGCATCAGAAGGTTGGTACATTAATATTGTTCTTCTAATTAGACTTGCCTTTATGCCGTGCTTTCCTTTTATCTTTTCACATTTGTGTTCAGGTAAACAAAAAAAAATCCCCCTTTCATCTTTGCTCTCCATATAACCCTATGCAAAACTGGACTGCAGTTTAAAAAAAAAGATTAATGTTCGGTTTATTGTGATTAAACTAAACTAAAATCTGAAAGTCTATTCTCCACCCATTGTTTTGACTCTAGCTCATGTCTCAATGGGGAATGTTGCATTTCAGGAATATGATTGTATTTCTTGGAATAGCACTGAGTTACTCAAAGTTAGCAGATGCATTTTGATTGAGCAACATTAGCATTTGATTTGGTTAGGAAATAATTCTTTGTGTGGTAAGAAACGGGAAGTTAATGCTTGGCAACTATGAGCTGGTGCTCAATCTCTCTGTTAGTGAAAAGAGAAAAAAGAATGAAAGAAAAAGAAAAGAAATGCATGATAAGGCCGAAGTTGAAGAAAAGGGCCACTACGAAGAAAGAGGCACGTGTGGATAATAATAGTGGCAAAAAAATAAAAAATAACAACACTCAGCTTGCATTTTAATGGTTCCTTTCAATGCCAGTGCAATTAATTTAAATTTGTTTGTATGTTTTCATCTCAGGTGCTGACAAAGGAGTGGATTTTAAAACACGCAAACATGTCCAAAGCGTGTCAAGACAGGAGGAGTCGATGGCAGGAGATCCAGAAGGGCTTGCAGTTTATTCAGTAAGTGTCATCATGTTTGTCCTGGGGTCAGTCCTTGTTTGTGTATGTCAGGTAAACATCCAGGCAACAGTCAGCAAAGCAAACTTGTGTAAAAAGAACTGATTTGTTTGATCTGACTGATTACTACAGTCATTTTGTCAAAAGCAAATTTATTTTTATTTTATGGTCTTTATTGTCATTGCAACTAACTTTAATTTAAAAAAAAACCCAACAACTTTTATTCCAAGAAGAAACTGAAGGTAATCTGCAACTAACTTTAATAAAAAAAAACAACAACATTTATTCCAAGAAGAAACTGAAGGTAATCCAAATTAGGGATGGTTATAAACAACGTTTTCATGTCCGATACTGCAACTTGGAAAATCTTCAAATATGGTGCGATGTCAATCCAATTCTTTCTTTTCTCCTCTACTATGCTGCTGGCTGCTGTGAATGAGGCAATAGCGTCCCTGTTTACGACATGTCCCACAAAATCAAGTTAACCAAAATTAAGTTTTTGGGCTTAGGTGTCAGATTGTTATTGTCAGATTGGATAGGCTGAAGCTATTTTTTTTCAGTGTTGGATCTTGAAACTTTAATCAGTATCACACTGATACTGATCTTAAGTATTAGATCAGTAGATCTAGTCCAAATATACACTTAAATAAAGCCACAGAGATATTTTAAAAGTTAGCCTGGAAATGGTCAACCAACATGATCAAAAGATGAAAAAGTGCAAAAATAGATATGCTAAGAAAATTGGTCAAACATAACTTATAGTTGGTCTTAAAACGGCTAAAAATGTGTCTAATAGTTTTGATCCAAACCTCAGAAAACAGAGAGAGGTTGTGTAAAAAACACAGGAAATGAACAACCCAATGAAACATTGAAATCAATTGACTAATTTTAGTCAGAAGTTTGAAATTTGGCAAAAAAATATCACATAAAAGAGTTTTCTTAAAACACCCATCCAGTAAATAAAAAAGTAAACTACTTAATTGCACTAATAATATTTAAAGTCCTATGGATTCTTATTTTGGAATGATTAGTTTGATCCTGTTTTTGACATAAAACTTTAACTTCATGGTTGCTGAGGTGTGTCTCACTAGGGAGGATAAAAACACTTTGTTCACCTCTAATGACAACACAGTGCAGTAATGATTGGTTAATCTTGCATCATGTATTTCTCTTTTAATGAACCCTCTGTCTTTGAGTCAGCAGATTATTTTTGTTATACCAGCAATGTAACCTAACGATGGTATTTTGTATTCATGCGTCATACAAAGATGAACGTCTGTTCTATCTTTGTATTGTTTCTGAAGCCATACCAGAAAAAAAAAACAAAAAATAGTGTCTCAACAGTCTATTTCCGGCCAAGAAAAAAAAACAAATTTCCTGTCCGTAGCAGTGTAACAATTGAGTTTTCACATTAGTTTAAAAGAGTCTTTTAAACGCTTCCAACAAAATGCAGAATTCCAATCATCCTCAATGCAGACTAACCATCGCAGCTCCTGTTTTGACACTTCTTGCTTCCTCTTTTGTGCAAAAGCCATGTACTTGATGAAACCTATCAAACCTTAGTAAGACAATCACACAGCATTTCGATTGTGAGTTCATTATTCAAATGTAAGACACTTTTTTTTTGTTGTCCACTGTTTAGCTGAGTCTGAGTCGAGATTCAACTCTCTTCATTTTTGCATAGAGGATCTCCACAGAGTTTTTGTTAACAAATGAACTGGCTTATTTTTATAACAAGTTGCGATATTCCCATGTATATGCTATGAATACTATGGAAAAAAAGTGTATGTAAATGTATTGTTGTAGAGTGTAGATTAGCAACATCAAGGATGATGCTGTTGAAAATTAGGTAATGATAGGAGCCACTGTTGAATATCAAGTTCAGCTAGCCTGCCTCAGAAACAGAGAACAGGTAGTCCTGGGTTCAATTCCCAAAAGAACCACATACTTGGCACCTGCAAGGGGCAGCCCGTTGCAGGTAGACTAATGTGGAGCATCTGCTGCAGCTCTGAACCAGTTACAGAGTGGAAACAGTGTATTCTGTTACAAATGTTTCCAAGGACCCAAATGTTCCCCCAGTTACAATAGAATTCTTAAGATTCTTTATTAAGTCATAACACTGTATCAAAAACGAAACTAAACAAATGTTCCTCTTGGTGATGACCTTGGTTTTGTAGCAGAAGCAAATGTTGTATTAAGTAATTATTTCCCAGCTGATTTTTAACCAACTGTGTCTCTCACAGGAGACAGCAATCTGTGGTTCCACCAAGCTGTTCAGTTAGGCAAGTTTGTTGTCCTCTAAACGTACTTGAATTAAAGTTATTGGACAGAAAACATAATCTTCTCAAACAATAATAATCTTAAATAATGTTTTGTCTAACCCTACTGCCGCACCAGAAGGTTGTACACTATCTTGTTTCGCCTTTGGCAACCAAAAAACAATCCTTATGGACACAAAGTAGCTAATTGCACTTCACACCAAGCATAAAGACAGATCTTGTTATTTAGGGGAAATGACATGGTCTGAAAACTATTATTTATTTACTGCAAATAGTTTTTCCTCTATGCAGTGACAGGCAGAATAATCAAATCATCGTGCACTAGGTGGCGTCACATGCCTAACTAATTGATAGGGTTATTTAATTTCATTACATGTACTTTTTGTGACAGTGATAATGGTTTAAGCAACTATTAGCATTAAGCTGATATTAAATACAGCAAATTATAATATATAACAGGTGTATAATTTGTATAAAAATGTAATTTAAAACCCAAGTGTCATTCATAATCCTGATTGTCATAGGATGTCGCCAAGTACCACCTATGCTACTTGTACCGTAGACATGAAATTATTACCCGACTCCCATATTTAGTTTTTTCCCAGTTTCGGCCCAGTTGACATTTTGATATGACATAACTCTTATTTTGTGTTCTTTTAGATCAACTCTTCCTTATCCTGGAAGCCAAGAGCAGTATGAGGTAAATTATGAAGCGTTTTTTAAATTCAGCAAATTGTTGTAAGAAGCTTATAGCACCCAAATGACTCCATTCTTGTTATTGTTTTTGTTGTATTTCTAGGTATTCATTAAGGACCTTGTGTGGAATCTATTCGGAGAAGGGAATGACGTGTACAAAGAAGGGGACTGGACAAAATCCATTGAGATGTACACAGAAGCACTGAGTATAGCAGAGTATGCAGACTCTGAGGAAATCTGCGTTCCAACTGGTTTGTTGGAAAAGCTGTATGCAAATCGAGCCGCAGCATATTTGAATGTTGTTCCAGTAAGTCGCCACTTACATCTAAAACTCTTTCATTTTCACCTCAGGATTCCCATTCCATCTAATGTGATGGGAATCATGAAGTAATGTTGTGTCGTTTTGCTTCTATATACATCACTTGTCTTGGAAATATATGAAATTCTAGATCTAGTTTCATGTACAAGTTAGCAGTATATGAAAATCTAGATCTAGTTTCATGTACAAGTTAGTAAACCAGCCTCGCAAAACAAACAACTGCGAGCAGATTTCTGACCACAATCCCATCTGTTTTTTGTTTTTTTAGGGTTTATATGACCAAGCATTAGAAGACTGTGAAAAAGCTCTTCATTTGAACAGTGGGAATTATAAAGCCTTGTACAGAAAAGCCAAATCTTTAAAGGAGATGGGGAGACATCAAGAGGCCTATGAGACTGTTGCCAAATGTTCTTTAGTAGTGCCCCAGGTAATGTGCACCATCAATCATCATGTTTAAAAAAAAAAATAAAGACCAACAGACCACATGTACAGAAAAGTCAATAAAAAATGCATTTACTTATTTAAAAAATAAATAATATATATATATATATGTATTTTTTTGCCCCAGGATCCCAGTGTCACACAACTGACTCAGGACCTTGCCAAAATTTTGGGCTTGAAAATCCGTAAAGCTTATGTAAGAAGCAAGGTAGGTTTCAAGAAATAAGCACAAATTTGCCAAACATAATCCAATTAAACAAATGTCAAAGTGTATTAGTTACAAATTTTTTTTAATGTTTTTACCAGCCTTCCTTAAATGTTTTGCGAGGATCAAATTATCAAGATGCATCATTTGATAAAGTGAGAAAAACATAATTTAAAAAAAGTTTATTATAAAATACACAAAATGTATTATTTGTGGTCCTAATATATGAATTTATTTTTATTAGCTGCCTAATGGCTCTGCCTCAGTTGAAGACATAGAAGTTGGTACGTTTTTATTTTTTTTTATTTTTTTTTTTTTGATAAACAACACATTAGATCAGGGTAAAAAGTAACTCATCTTCTGTTTTGTTTTTTAAGAAATGCTTAAGGATAACCAGGATGACAATGTTATGGCTCCTATTGAAGCTCCCTCTGGTGGTGATGTGCCTGTAAATGAAACAGCAGTAGAAGAATTTCCTCACAACAACAGTATTGCGTCTGTGATGCCTTCAGAACCTCTGGGATTCGAGTCACTTTCTCTGCCGGTGTCTGTGAACACTTCAGTCGGCCTCCCCGCACTCACATATGTTAACGGGTGCAGAACAGTTAACCCTTGCCCAATACTTGAAACCAGTCAAGATTTTGACACAGACATTATCGGGAACGACCTAGATGATCTGCTGGACCAAGCTGAGCCTGAGCCTGAACTTAACATGGTGAGTGAGGAAATAAACAGATTTTGAATGTTTGAGTGAATGACAAAATATTTTGAAATTCCTTCGTTTTTAATGTTCTAAATAATGCTGAAACTTTGGATCAAAATTATGGTTAACCCCCTTGAACAATACACACACAAATACACAGTAGCTAATAGATGCATTCCCTTTTTAATTGCTGAAAAACATTTTATAGTTTGTGCCCGTTTTTACAACTGCAAAGTAATATCCAAGACGGGGCTTAAATAGAAGGCAAAAGTTTTTGTCTGACTAGATACTAGATTTGGCCCTTAAAAAAAGATTAAATTCTCCCCGTATGTAAAGAAAGCTACAATTAGCTAATGTTGCTAAAAGTTGATCAATAATAATGAAACCTAAACTAAGGTAGCAACAATGTCAATAAAAAGTTCTTAAAAAGTTTTATAAGTGATGCGCATGTTTTTTTTTTTTTGTTTTTTTTTTTTAGGATATCCCCACAGTGAAGGGGCCTCTTCCTCTGCCCACCAGTATTTCCTCGGGCAGCTCCATGTCCAGTCCATTCCTGATGTCATCTCACATCAACCCTTTTCTCCACAGTGGTAACCAGCTGTGCACTGTGACTCTGCCTCCGCTGTACTCTAAATCAGGCACGAGTACATATTTTGGCATGGACACTTTTGATGCTATGTCCCAACCGTTGGACTCTTTGGATAGTCTCTCTATGAATGACTATAAATCAGGTATTTCAGCTAAACATAACCTATTGCTTTCATATGGTGTATCATTTACATTAATCATCTTTAAAAAAAGCTGATAAAAACACCTAAATATATTTTCTTTTTTTTCTTTTAGGTTTTGCTTCTTGCCCCTACCTTCCACAGGTATTCATTATTAATTATATTTGAATAATAATTTTTATTTTGGTGCTTTTACATGTAGGTTTTATAACATTTTATCTTTTAATTAAAATGCAGATAAACAGTAAAAATTCTCCAATGGGAATGGCTGTTGGGATGCCTGAAATGAAGGGTACTCCTGCCACTGTGGACTTAGCAAAAAACCCTTTAGCGGAAACGCATGAATTCAAACAAGCATGTGCAATCTGCTTTGTCAGAACTGGTGAGTTTTTTTTTTTTAAAACCTTGTCTTTACTTTATAATTTTCTGGTCATTTTATAGAAATGAGAGGTTGGTGCCATTTACCCTGTGTCCATTTCATACCCACAGGGCCTGGTGTGTTGGATTTCACATATCAAACAGAAGAGCACAAATGCAAAAAAGACGCTTTACTCGGCAGAATTAAACATTCGCCAGGCCAGACGTGGAAGCTCATTCGGCCCAGACCTACAAAAACCCAATATGTTGGACCATATTACATTTGCAAAGGTAACATTTTCAAACCTTCGACTAAAAAAAAAAGTAATCTTTCTACTCTTTTAAGCAACAAATGAAGCATCATTATCTAGTTGTGTTGGCTTTGTGACGATAAATCCTGCAGGAAAAAGGAAACCGTCATAAATGCTAAAAGTACATTTTTGTTTCAGAGGTGGCTGTTGGGAAGGACTGTCTGTACCCTGGCCATTGCACATTCGCATATTGCCAGGAAGAGATCGACATTTGGACTATGGAGCGGAAAGGATTCATATCCAGGGAATTGCTCTTTGATCCTTTTGGACACAACCCGGATATCAGGCTGACAGTTCCCAAGGTCTTACAGGAGCATCGTGGGATATTCATGTTTCTGTGTGAGGTAGGTTAAGCCACGTATGTTTTGAAGAAAGTCTTACTAAGATAAGAAGTCCTGGTGATGTGGCTATAGCTGAAGCAGCAGTAGGAGCATGTTCTCACAACAACTGAACTGAAGAGGCCTGTTGCTGGCAATATTGTTGAGGATATGTCGCAATCAGTAATCAATAACTAACTAACTAATTACTATTTCCAACACAATAACTTTGTTAAATTTTGTTGTGTTAATATGGCTCTGCTTATAGTAGCACAATAAATTTGTTAAATGTTGTTGTGTTAATATGGCTCTGCTTATAAAGTGCACACTGGGTTTTTTTCTTAGTACTTTATATAATGTAAGTTACAATTTTGTAAAAAAGAAAAAAAAAGCATGATACAAAAACTGACAACATATTAAGTCCAAATTTTGGTTACTCTAAACTCTGGTTAATGTCATGGCTGCTCTGATTGGTTCCACTTTGGTTAATGTCATGGCTGCTCTGATTGGTCAGGTCATTGGAGACCAATCACAAAAGCACTCCTAGTTCTAGTCACATATGTGAAAACACAGTTGTATTTCCCAATTCTTTATTTACATTCATATGAATATGGAGATAGATTGGAGTAAAAACAATGTTTGTCAAGTGGCGTTTTTTGTCAGTACTTCCAGGTTAAAGTTCTTTGTGATTTACAGGTATGCTTCGACCACAAACCGAGAATAATCAGCAAAACCAACAAAGACGATCCTTCAATCTGCTCTCATCCAGTGACGAAGCACCCCTTTGAGGACCACAAGTAAGTGTTTCTACATGACCTTTATTTAAAACTGGAGCATATACATTTAACAATGCTTGAAGATTTCAGACTTGGGTTTCAAGTAAGGCTGTCAGAATTAACACTTTGGTCAAGAGGGGACTCTAGAGCTATCAATATTAATATCTACATGCTTCCCTCAAGAACAGTAATGGCTAAAAATTCACAAGCTCTGAGGCTAAATTTTGATTTACGCTTTTCTTTACATTTTTCCTTATTTTTAATGCCATCATTTGGAATAGTCACAGATAAAAAAAATCGACCTTCTTTTATTTGCCTAGTAATTACACAGTAAAGTTTTCCTTTCTCCGATGTTGATTTATCTGGATTAATCATGATTAATTGTGTTTACTTACTATAATGACTTATCGTGATTGACTCCGGTAAATCTACAGCTATCTTGCAATTAATAAGATTAAGGTGTTAATACTGTAGTTTGTGTACAGGTGTGAAACACAAACCTGCTGAATCTACCTGTTACCTAATAAAGAAAAAGATTTTCTTGTCATATTAAGGGATGTTGATGTATCTAGATTCATTATGTTTGATTACAGTTGCGATTACTTGACATTAAACATTCTAACATTTGAATTAAAAACTAAAAGCACACCAAAACCTTGAGGGTTCACTCATATATTCCTTTCGGTTGTTTTGTCCCACAGATGCCTGGTCCACATCTTGAAGGACAACAAAGTCAGGTATTCCAAAGTCCGACCGCTGACTCCACATTGTCAGTTGGATCTCTGTCGCCACGAAGTCCGGTACGGCTGTGTGAGGGAGGACGAGTGCTTTTATGCCCACAGCCTCATCGAGTTGAAGGTCTGGATGATGCAGCACAAGCTTGGTAAAAAAAACTTTGTTTGAATAACAGTTTTTTTTACACTTTGGTAAATATATGAGTAAATAGCATATTTTAACACGTATATTCTGTACCTGTAGGTACCACCCATGAAAATATTGTACGAGAGGCCAAGAAGTTTTGGACTGCAGCTTCAATGCAGGGAGGACAGGTAAGCTGTCATGAGTCTAATTCAGTTTAAGAGTTGTTTGGTTTCGCTATATGCACTATGCCTTGCCTGTTAACAGTTGTTTTCATAGAAGTAGAATAAAATGTCCCATTAACATTTGTAATATAAATGGGGTATTTTATGCTACTTTTATGAAAACAACTGTCCTTTTAAAGGTTGCAGAAAAAGTTTGAGAACCACTGCCATATTGTAAGGAGGTTGACAGACTTTGAGCGCCTGCTCCTCCACAGCCTTTTTAAAACAACTCATTTTTATGACAGAAACTTGATTTTATTGAGTATTTACACATATACATAAAAATTGGTTTAATGTTGGTTGGTTGAATTTTTATCTCTTATGAGATTACATTTTTTATACTATATTAGTGGTTCCCAACCTTTTTTTGACTTGTTACCTCCATTTTGACAATACAAATTTCTGGCAATGCCCTTTATTTTTGTGATCCTATGATATTTGTTATACCGATGTTGCATTGAATGTCTTCCACAGCTTTCCAGTGCACAGAGAAGGTTTGGGCCTCCGACTCTGAAGATGATGTTTGTCTGCAGCCAGTGCTGGAAAAACGGTCAACTCAGCGAGGCTGACAAAAACAGGAAGTACTGCTCGGCCAAAGCCAGACACACGTGAGTTCATCAAGGTTATCCCTGCAAACTTACATTCATCATGGCAAGTCCAGTTCTTCACGAAGGCACTCCTCTGTTGTTTCAGGTGGGCTAAGGACAAACGGGTGGTGCTTGTGAGCTCCCACGAAAGGAAAAAGTGGACTATTGTCAGACCACTCCCGACCAAAAAACCAGTCCCGGCACAGTTTGAGGTTTGTCAAATGGTCACACGCCTTCAAATGGCCTCATTTGCTTTGAAAACAAATTTTATAGTGTGGCTGACCACGGCCTCTCTCTTCCCCTCCCTCAGATTTGCATGCATGTGACAGCTGGGAAGAAGTGTCAGTACATCGGAAATTGCACATTTGCGCACAGCGGAGAAGAAAGAGATCTTTGGACTTATATGAAGGAACACAACAGTAAGTATTCAGTTCTGCTGAACTGATTTGTTTTAATGTGTTGGATGGTCATTTTATTTTCTGCCTTTCGCTCAGTTCCAGATATGGATCAGCTTTACGAGCAGTGGCTGCAGGCTCAGAAGACTGGCTGGGGTGAGGAGACCTCCAGTAACTCCTTCCGGGAGAATGGCAAACAGATCCACATGCCAACAGACTACGCGGAAGAAGTGGTGAGTTTTACGCCAGTGATTGTGAACCTTTAGTATAGGATGAAACTTAGAGTATTAATTTTAAATCTGTTTTGCCATTTTTACAAATGTAAGTTGCATTAATTCCAAAATGTTAGTTTTGGGCACGCTACATTCTCTACAGCAGTAGGCACAGCAGCAGAGGCGTTAGTTAAACACTCACTTGCTGTAAATGCGATTGTTTGTAAAAATGCTTTAGACAGTTTCAGGAACAGATGGTCATTAGTCATCTGTGTAAATAAGAGTGTGTCTCTCCCCCTCTACCCCCCACCCCTTTTTTTTTCTTCCTCCACAGGCTGGCAATCACTGTTGGATGTGTGGTAAAAACTGCAACAGTGAGAAGCAGTGGCAGCAGCACATCACGTCAGAAAAACACAAAGACCGTGTTTTCAACTCCGAAGATGATCAGAACTGCTGGCAGTACCGATTTCCTACAGGCACTTTCAAAGTCTGCGAAAGGTTTGAAATAACGTCGTCAAAGTTAATAGGCCATTTCTGTTGCTAGTATTATAGTAATGATAGGTGTATTTCTTCTCCCCCCCACAGGTTTCTGAAGGGGACGTGCACAGAGGACGACCTCTGCAAACTGGCTCACGGGGAGCAGGAGCTGAAGGAGTGGATGGAACGTAGGGAATTTCTTTTGATGAAACTTGCCAAAGCTAAGAAAGACCATCTTATAGCACCCAATGACAATGACTTTGGGAAATACAGTTTTCTGCTTAAAGACATTTATTAATAAGATGATGACAGTTGTGACACTCACGTGATAAAGATGCAGTATTTTAAACACCCTCGAGTCGTGGTTGACCCTTGGTGTGTACAGGAAGTAACCTGAGGACAAGAATTACTAATAATAAAAGAAACAAGAACATTCAGGCCTAGCTTTCTGCTTGGCTTTTTTTTTCCTGATCAGAATTACACAGGTGTTACTACATACATGGAGTTCCGACTTGGAGACAGGATTTCTGAGGTGACGATGAAGATGGCGATGCGTCCTGGATCACAGTCACGAGCAGTTTGCCTAAAAGACAATTTTGCATTAGCAATTTGTAGTACCAATCACTTGCTTTCAAGTTAAATCCCACAACACAGGTAATTTCTTTCAAGTCAACTCATTCTAATAGTGTTACCAATGTAACAGACATCATTGCAAATAAAGCTCTTTTTAACCTGCGTCTGAGCCACTGTGATTACACACCTCTGACCAGTGGTTAAAAACTATTATAAAGTGTTATGGTGGGATAATACACTATAAAATGCATGAACACTGTAAAGCAGGGGTGCCTTTTGAGCGAAATGTTAGCAATTTCTGACTAACTCACTTACAGTATGCATTGGCTTCATTTTCATAAATTTGTTTTAGATTTTCTTTGTGCTAACATTTAGTTTATTTGGCCATTTTTCAGCCACACTTAAAGTGTTTGGCTTAAAGTGTAGCCAAATAAACTAAATGTTAGCACAAAAAATCTAAAACAAATTTATGAAAATGAAGCCAATGCATACTGTAAGTGAGTTAGTCAGAAATTGCTAACATTTCGCTCAAAAGGCACCCCTGCTTTACAGTGTTCATGCATTTTATAGTGTATTATCCCACCAACACCACAAAAAGCCTTGCAATAGCATTTCTAAATAATAAAGAAATGCTATTGCAAATAGCTGAAAGTTTGATGTACATCATAGCAGATCTCACTACTGTCTTTGCTGAGAAGTGGACAAATTGAACACCATAACTAAAAGTTATACGACTAATAACTATTTTGAAGATATCTTCAAGCTAAGCTCAGAATTTTAGCTTAAAATTACTTAAGAAACTTAGACTTAACTCTGATATTACTAAAAGTTATTAAATATATATATATATATAAATATATATATATATATATATATATGTGACAAATGCAGCAACAGTAGCAGAGGTCTGTTATGAATACAGCAGAATGTTGTAAAGATGCTAGGTGCTTAAATGTTTTTAATTTATTTTTAAAATTTTTAAAAATAAGTTAAAAACAAACATTTGAATTTATTATCCTTACGTAAAAGCAATTATTACAAATTTCTTTAGGTTGAAGAAGCACCAATAGCAAAAGATTCAAATTATGATCTGTTTTTTTTTTTCTCTCTATATTTACTCAAGTCAGTAGGAAAACAAATTTACTGCTTACTGTATGTAACGTCAGCAGACATCAACCAGACGGGATCATTGTGCAGGTTTTTCTTCAGTGGCACAGATGACGGTCGGAGCAGCGTCCATCCCAGCAGCCAGTGAGCAGAGAACATGCTGTAGCTCCTCCACTTCCAGTTTCCACATCTGTCGGTGAATGGCAGTCTTCTCTGACAGATCAGCCATCTTTACGGCACGGATGACCGGCTCCGGGGAAACGGCTTGGATGACTCCCATCACCATCACATACTTGCCTGTAAGAGCGGACAAGGAACGAGACGTGAGACACACAATTTAGTGCTACTATTTTACAACCATTGATGCCCTCAGTGCAACTTATCTACTTTTTCACCAATAATTTCAAAATGTAAAACTAGTTTTGTTAGCAAAATAAATTTAACTTCTTATTAGTGTAGTGAACAATGAATCAAGAACTAAAACACATCCCAAAAAATTATAGATGTCCCACAGAGGTTGTTAATCACTGGTCTAATCAAACTATAACATCATTCTCCCCATCCCTTTACCAGACCTATTTTTTCCAGGATGTTTTCTCTTGTCAGAGAAGACTTCCCTGTCACCACTAAACCCAAAGGCAGTGCTTCTCAAATAGTGGGGCAGGCCCCCTGTGTGGGCACAGTGAGGTGCCAGGAGAGGGCGTGAGGGGCTTCAAATGGAACATGGCACGCTGGACATAAGTGTACCACTGCTGTAATGCTTGAATGATAACAAGCCTCCAGCCACTAGGTGGCAGCAACTCATACAGTGGGTTGTACAGATAAAAACATACATGGTATCAGATTCTTAATAGTATTTCAATTTGCTAAGATGTGGGTCAGGGGCGAGGGTGTGAAAACATTTGACCCCAATGGGAGGGATGAGGGGGTGTACGACAAAATAATTGAGAACCACTGCCCTAAGGCCAGACAAATGGATAACATTAAAGATTTTTTTTCTCAGTTAATTTAATTAATCTTTTTAGTCAACTTTGAAGAGTGTTTAGCGATGTAATAGTTGTCCCAAATGATCTGCTTTTCTTGAATTTAACATTGGTACAAATCTGTTGTACCATTCCCCTGTCTGATAACTGACATTTTGCAGGCTCTCTATTCTAATGTTCTGCTATAGCAGGCCACTTAGGAAAATGCCAGAAAAATCCTATTTGATCCGCTGAACTTGACTGTGATTGAGTTTAAAAAGTTCTGTTAGGCAACTGGACGTGGGTTTTCTAAAAGACGTTTCACCTCTAATCCAAGAGGCTTCTTCAGTTCTAATTGGTGATGGGGAGTACAGCAGATACAGTCCCTTCCAAAAGTATTGGAACGGCAAGGGCAATTGTTTTTGTTGTATACTGAAGACATTTGGGTTTCAGATCAAAAGATGAATATGAGACAAAAGACTGAAGGGATAAGCCCCCAGAAACAAACAAGAACTGAAATAAACTGAAGACAAAGATGCATATGAGACAAAAGACTGAAGGGATAAGCCCCCAGAAACAAACAAGAACTGAAAGAGGCCGCAGTAAAGGCCTGGAACAGCATTTCAAATGAAGAATGCAACAGCCTGGTGAAGTCAGGTTGCAGGCTCAATGCAGTTATTATTGCAAATAAGGGTTATGCCACCAAATATTAAATGTTATTCACTTTAATTTATGTTAATAATGTCTCTGTTACAATACTTTTGCTCACTTGAAATGTGGGTGGGTACAAAGAAAAGGGGCTCAGTCCTGAGTTGTTTAACACACCTGGATGTCAATACCATGAAATAAAAGCTGGAATTCTGAACTTTTGTCTCATATTAATCTTTTGATCTGAAACCCAAATGTCTTCAGTATACAACAAAAACAAAGGAATTGCCCTTTCCAATACTTTTGGAGGGGACTGTTTATACTCTTGGTGTGAAAGAATAAAGCTACTTCAGCTCCACCCTGGTGGGTGGGGCCTTGGGGTCAACTGTGAAAGTGTAAACAATACTTAAGAGTCTGACAGGTCATTGTGGTCCCCAACAGAATGGTTTCGGTCACCTGCCTCTTTGTTGTGTGAAACTTTTGGGTATAGTTCCTAAATGGCTTCTTTGACCCCTCTCTGAAACCATCTGACTTCCCATTGACAACAATGTACAATGTGTACATTGTTGTCCTCAAAGGAGTGTGTTTTGTCCTTGAGGGGTTATTTTATTCTTTCACACCTAGAGTACATATCTGCTGTACTCCCCATCACCAGTTAGAACTGCAGAAGCCTCTTGGATTAGAGGTGAAACGTCTTCTTCAAATTCAAAATTCGCGTCCAGTTGCCTAACAGAACTTTTTTAACTTGACCATGACCTGGATGACCGAGAATCTTCATAGACTTGACTGCGATTATTAGTTAATTAGTTTTGATTGACAGCAGCCGTGTGCTGAAGACCGCAATTATATCAAAGTAGCAATATGTGCTAATCGACTCTATGCGTACTCATGCAACTGGTTTATTATACATTTTTCGTAATTGTCCCCATGGCAGATTAATTTTTTTCTATTTGGTTAATTGCGGTAACTTTAATTAGCAAGGAAACTAAATTCAGTCTGAGCTAAAGATATAAAACAAGTACACAAACAAATATGTAGACGTTAAAACTTCCGCTTCGTTCTCGTTTTCTTACCTTGAGACAAACACGGCTTCCCCCGAGGAATGTTGTTGACTCCCTGGACAGCAAACGTCCCAGTTTCGTCCATGAGCAGCACGGTGTTCTGCTCCAGCTGCACGTCCAGCACGGTGCCCTGCATCCACACTAGCGTCACCGGCAAAGATCGACCTCTGTCCAGTCTGACCACCCAGCCGTCCCCGCTGACGGCTGCCGTCTTCAGCTGAGCGGAGAAAACTTTGACAGGCGGTGGACGTTTCTTCTCTACGCGTGTTGTTTCCAACGTAGACATTGCTGACTAGTTGTTTGAATTAATCAACGTCACCTGCGTCCCGCCACTCAAGCGGAAGTCTAAATGTTTATCCGGAAGTACGACGGTGATTTAGGCGTCAACTTTCAAAATAAAGTCCTATTTGAGACATTTCGTATTCTGCAGTGATAGAATACGTACACGGGTAGTGTTTTAAAACAGTTACATTTTGGAGTTAAATGATACAGGGAACTTTGAATTAACATTGCATTAGTTGGTAATCTACTTTAGATTTCAGATAGTTTTAGAAAACAGTAGTTCCTTGCAGATGACAAAAATCATACAATTTCAAAATGATTTTATTTTATTAAATAAGTTTTATTTCTTTAAGAATAACTGAAGAAAATTGTTAGCCATTTCTGTACAACTGATTTACCGCTTTCCCTTGGATTTGCCGCAAACCTTAAATGATCAACGGGGCTGAGAAATGTTACGTTGCTGCCACATAGTGCACTTTAAACCTACAAGCATGATGTTAAGTCCACAGTCATTCGTCCGCTTCCTCGAACCTATTTTGAATAGTTCTTTTTAAGTTTAATACCGACTCCAGTTTCATCATTGGCTTCTTTTTTCAATCCCAGTTCATCAAAAAACAAAAAAACAAAACAGAGGCACATTAGAAATACTGCCATTTTCCAAGGACTGTGTCTTTGATTGCATCCACAAACTGTGTGGGCACCCAGTAGACCCAATATTGAGAGGCTTCCGTCGGACCCAATTGAAACGCCTGTAAGAGTGAGAAAATATGAATTAAAACGTTTGGTATGTACTGTAAAAAATCAGGGAAACATATTGTTTGAATCTAAAATGTTTAACTTTGTAGGGCATGCTGTTGGCAACAGCATATTAAAATGTATCTATGAGGTTGCCGAAAATTTGTGACGTCAGAAAAGGATCACAGGGCAAGAAAGGTTGGGGACTACTGGGATACAGGGTTCGTTTTGAACTAGGCAGGTGAGGGGCCTCACCACTGGTTTGCTCCGACCCCCAGGATAGAATAAAAACATTATTATGATCTAATTTTAAAAGCTTGTTTCATCAGCTGTTTTAGGAAACTGTGAGGCATGCGAACAGACGGAAGCAAAAATGTCACAATATGTTAGTACACACAAAAACAAACTAAACCACTAAAACCACAACAACAACTAAAGACTTCATCATTGCCTCAGAACCTGACCCAGAGGTTTGGCTACAACTTTTCATACACTGAACGCTGCCACTGTGTGCCTGTGTTTCACTGCTGTACATCAAGTAACAGGTCATTAAACTCCGTTCAGCAACACAATGGCCGACTTTCCAATTCACAATTCACTCAAGCTTCTGCTCATATGTGTTAAGATTGCAGATACCTGTTCACTGACATTTTAAATCAACCTTATCTCCTCCTCATATATTTTCTCTGCTCCGCTGTGATGCAGGCCCAGAGCGCAGGAGCTGTATCGTGTTTCATTTTTGGCAACAAACATAAAAAACGGTGACTGGTGTCTGAGCGATTACGCTGCTCGTGCATCACATCTGCACTGCAGGTGTAACGACAAGCTGATCCAGATCAGTCACTGGGATCAGCGCCCATGTGCTGTTGGTGGCGCAGTCGAACAGAGGATGTGGTTGTTGAATTTAAAACATACAGGAGAAAGAACGCCGTTTTTCTGGGCAGGCACTTTTGGGGGCAAAAATTGGTCCACTTCATGTTTATTTTGGAATCCAGTCATGGCAAAAATTTGACCATTTCATGTTTATTTTGGAATCCAGTCATGGGCCGAGAATAGATGGTTGGGTGGGCAGAAAGCGGCCTGTGGGCCACCAGTTGATGAATAATGTTGTGCCCTCCTCTCTATGGCCACACACCAAAGTGTGCTTCCAAACCCCAAATTTTCCATTCCAATGGTTTCAATGTTTGTTTGACGCTTATGGAAGCTGTGGTCTGTCTTAGCAGCACTTTCCATATTTTCCTAATCTGTTGTAAATCACAGCCGCAGACGCGTTCTATTTTGTCACGCCATTTTATTAAATCGATTCATCACTCCTTTTAATATTTATTCCAGATTTTGAATGCTCCGAGTCTGTTGTGATACTCTTCTGTAGCCTCTCAAGTCACGTTGACACGGTGTCATAACATCATTAATATTGTATGTAAAGCACTTTAAACCGCGATGTTGTGTAAACGTGCTTTACAACACCTTTGCCTTGCCCGCGATGACAAACGGCGCATTAGTTCCATGTTGTGCGTAATAAATATTCCCGTTTGTTTTTCACATGTATCCAATAGCAATGTGAGTAATAAGACTCATTACACATCCCGGAGCCAATTTAAAAAGACATCAATTATTCAAATGAGTAAAGAATCAATTGAGCTTTTCCCTAAGATTCATAATCATGATGTATATGTATAGAGAGAGATATATGACGCTTTTATGAAACACTATTCTTCTTCTGTGAGGAAATGGACCTTGATCTTGACATTAGTGTGATGAAGCACAGCTAGTCCACTCAGGATTTCAACAATGGCCTCCGACATTACACCACTTGCTGTATTTCTCTGGCATTGAAGCACAGGAGTGCCTTTAGTCATAAAGGTTAATCTGGAGAAAGCAGTGACATTTACCGCTTCGCTGCAGAGCCCATAATAGCGAATGATGACCCTGTCACTCTGATGTACACATACTGCAGTAACTTCACTCAAGCGCACCACCTGCGGTTAACTCACGCCGCAGACTGTTTCCTGATCTACCCAAAGAACTAGTGTCTGTGATGATTTTTCCAACACCGACTGTTCACGGACCAGTCATGAAAATCCAAAACAGCTTTTTTTGTGACACTTGGCAGGTCTTCAAAAACACTAACACACAAACACACACACAGCCTAGCATCTGAGAGCCTAAATTTAATCCTAACATCTGTACAACCTGGCCCTAATACTGACTCAAAAATAAACCACAGAATTGTGATTAATCAAGAATAATCCATTGTCACAAAGTGATTAATCAGATCAAATTTGAATTTCTTTTTTTTTCTTACAGCAGACAAATACAGTATAAGGAGCAGCAAGAACACTTACCATCATGTGATAGTCCTCGTGGCCTTCAAGCGGTTCTGACACTACATTTTTAATGGAGCCCATAGGAACTTTCTCTGTTCTCTCTGTCAGGTAAAACATCAATCATTAGAATCTTTCTGTTGCTGGTAAATATGGAGGCATTTTCACGTAGCGCTGAAACTTACCCTTCGTTCCGATCCACAGCTGATCCTGCTCTAGTTTGAAAGTGAGTCTAACTTTTCCTCCGGACTTGTTGTACATTCCGGATAAAGGCACTGTTGGTAATCGTTCCTGTTGGTGAGATCAGCAAACAGTTACTTCATATGTTCTGTTAAATGGACACATGCCCTCTACCCCAGAGTATCTACTAGACCAGACGTGAGCAAACTTTTTGACTTGCGGGCAACAATTGTCCTTAAATTGAACAGAGGGGTCAGAACCAGATAGATGGAGCGTTCTTGTGAATTAAGATAAATTACATGTAAAACTCATGCATAAAGGCTAAAATGCTTTTATCATGTTCTACGCCATCTATTGGGGAAACCTGGATATTGCAGGGAAAAGTATAATGTCAATATAAATTAATTATATAATTAGTAAGTTTGGCTGCCGGGATTAAAAAGCTGGACGGCCCCCCGGGCCTTAGTTTGCCAATGCAGGTACTAGACCCAACTAATTGAACAGTGTTAAAAAAAAAAAATGAAATTATAATTACATTTTGGATTAGTCTGGAAACATGTGCAGCACCAAATATTTCTGATGTAAAAAAAACTAAAAGTTGAAGGACTGGTTGGCCGATTCAACTGACAAGAAATTGGTTACCTATCTGCATGCAGACTCTGACCTTTGGCCTTTTGGTGAGCATTTTACACTCTGAGTGTGTAGTATTTTTAATGCTCTTGTGGAATGAGGAAGAGCTTAGTTGTAGACTGAAGATTGGCCATGAATTGAATGTCAATGGTTGTTTTTTTCTACAATACGTGTACTTTCACTGTACTTTATTTTATGGAATAGACAAGCTCGAGACACAAACCACCGTTCAGACCAAGTTGTGCCTTAAACAGCACAACACAGCGATTTAGCTTGAGATTATATTAATCTTTAGGTGTTTCTTTTTCCAACTAACGACTATGTTTTTCAAAAGGAAGTTTGCTTTGTTCGTTTCTAATTTAAAATCTATGTTTGCACAACAGATGGAAGACACAACCGATAATTAATATAATTTTTTGGTAATTCCAGAGGTCCCAATTAACAGGCCTTTTATCTGTTTGTTTTTTCTTTGCAGTACACACCTTTGTTCCTTTAATGGCTGGCATCACATCTTCTGGTTTACCTTTGTCCAGGACTTTCCTATGTTGCTGAAACAACACGACGCAAGTATTGTTAAGTACTGAAGCATCGCGTCAAGCTCGTTGAAATGTCACTAATAATACGTACCTTTTGCCTGCATAAAGGCTCCTTTTTGTTTTCTTCGGCTTTAACTTCCTCCTGAAAGACCTCTTTGGGTGTATTCACAGCTAATACGTCGTTTATTGTTGATCCTACCACCATTATTTTTGCACCACTTGTAATCTTTATTTCACGTAGCGTCTTGTCCTCCGGAAGTAACCCTTTGTACATTACTTTCTGCATTGCGGGCGGAAGACCTGTAATGAGGACAAACATGAAGACACAAAACATAAAACCTCTGTTTTATTATTTAATCTAAAAAAAAAAAACTAAAAAAAAACCTCTTACCTGTGAGTGAATGAATCCTGTCTTTTAATTTGGCTCCGGTGCTATCGACAGGAATTTTCAGATCATATTTATTTTTGTTCCAGATAATCTTCAAGTCCACTGTCTCCTGCTTATCGTCCATGTCATCGCCATTGCTAATACTAGAGTCCTGAGTTGTGGTTTCTCCTGCACTGGTGTGAGACGTTTCTGTGTCGCTTTTTTCAGAATGTTCCAGGAGAGGTTCGTCGTCGTTGGGCTGCGCCACGGTCTTCATTATCTCTTCTTCACATCCTAAAGGAGACAAAGTAAAACTGATTTACATTTTCATGGGTTCTATGGATGTAGCTGGGAAAATATTAAGACTTATGTCCTAGTTAATTTGGACTAGTACTAGCATAATCACATAAACCAACACTCAGAAAGTTGTTGTTACTGCTGTTTTCGTTTCTCTTGCTGTTTCTCTACGCCCCTGTTCTTTTTGTTAGAAGCCCGTCTTTGGTCATAACTCTAATCTTATTTACAGAGCCAATTATCCCAGTACCATTCTGTTTATCCTAATTAAGGATATTATTTTAATTGTAAATACAATTCCTTTCATTTTGCTTACAACTAATGTAGAGATCATGACTAAAGGCCTATATGACTGTAGTCAGCACATTTCAGAGCTCTCGAGTCATAAATGATGTCAGATAAATTTACACGCAGTCATCAAAGTTTCCGTGGTGTCTTTGATGAAATCACTGCCTCGTTGACAATTTGCTACGTAACTGCAAACGACATTGTATTTCATTTTTGTTAATCAGGCTTTTAATAGCAGGACAATTCACAAAAGAGATTTACAAGCGAGGTCTTTCCAATGTCTGAGAACACAACTTGGCTTTCCATGTGCTGGCTCTTTCTCTTGGTTGGGCTTGGACTCTGTATACAAATGCTATTAATAGACCACTGGCTTAATCTGGTTATTAGAGGGACAGGGCTGTCAATATAAATATAGTCACAGAACAGCAAGAGAGAGCTTATTAATCACTACACATATTTCTGCAAAATGACAATGCAAAGAATGTGTAATCGGACACTAAAATTGGACTGCCAATAGGTGTCCTTGGGTGACACAAAGGAAGCTATGACATAAAATGTATTATTAAATACCAATAGAAACAGCATGAAAGGAGTTAAAGGAGTTGGTGAATGCCTCATCAGAAGAAATTCAACCTAAGGCAATCATCACCAGACAAATAGTGCTGCTTATTGCATAAAATCGATCTGCTCTTTCAAGATCTGCTCTCAATTTCCTCCTAATAATTTAAGACCCACGCATCAAGTCTTTTCAAAAATAAAAAGGATTTACTTTGGCTTCTCCGCTATATTCTCAGGTTTGTCTTACATCCTTCTCTAATTGCTCTGAGCAAAACATGACGTATCATAAAACAGCTCCCTGAAGGAAAGAAACAAAGGTGTTCTTTTTAGTTAGCTTCTATAATAAGCGCTCATGGTGTCACTGCTCACAGAGGCCGAGTAAAAACACGTGTTTTTTGGGTAACCTTGGATACACTCGCTTATACTAACAATAAGTTTAACACAATCACAGAGATACGCAGTACAAATATATTCATTCATATATTCATAATACATCCTAACTCCTACTTCAACTCTACCCATCATGAGTATTATCCAAATCTGTTTGCATCTAACAACATGGTTTGTAATTAGCGTTAACATATGGTCCTTTTGGTAAAATGCATAGGTATGTTTATGTGTTTGCCGGTGCGTTCACTGACGGCAGTTCAGAAAAAAAGACAACTATCCAAAAAAACAAAAACAAAAAACGAACGGTTTCACTTTTGTATTCCTACTTTCTCTTTCAAAGCCACCTTCACAGTATATTTACTTTTTCATCCTCTTTCAGTAATATTTTTATTTCGAGGGTACGAAACACTTAACAGCAAAAAAATATATATTTTTTTATGTTAACAGAAAATACGTTCTTAGCGGCCTTATTAGGATTTAAATTTTACAGCTAAGTTGCAGTACATGTATTCTGTTAGTACTTCGCTGTAATTACCATTCCTAACTTGGTTTACTTAGGTATCGTGCAGTAAACGTAGAGGCATCCCATACTGATGGTGGTCAACAGTTAACATTGTCATTTTCCACATATATTGTTACATTTGACTGATGTGACCAAGCGTCAACGTTAGCTAGCCACACAAAATACACTCGTGGACTTTTTTGCGCATTGACGTAGCGGTACATGTTCAAATTTTATATCACCGCTGTTCAGAGGCGTCTTTATATAACGTGCCAGTCTAAATTAAGTGTTGTTTCATTAGCACAGAATCACAATACATGACCGGAGTGCGGCTGTGTTTTTCTCAATACCCACCATCCTGCGCCGCCATGATGATTGTGTACAATCTGTTAGGCTGTGGCAAAGAGATTACAGCGGGTAGGATGGGGTCCGATGACGACAGGGAAAAGTCTAACAGAGTTAAAGTATTTCAACGTGTAATAAAAATAACACGAAATTAAAGAATAGTTTAAAGCATTACACACCACACGACTATATCATCTTTAATTTAAGCAACCTTGAAAAGTAAAAGTATTTTTAGCAAACCAAATTAGGAATACAGGTAAAAGTACGCATGCGCACAAACCATGCGTCGCTAATAGAAATTGTTTTGTGACATTGCTAGTTTAATTATTTCAATTATATATTTAGTTAAACATAATATATACAAAATTAAAATGATGAAAAACATTTTTTTCACAAAGTAGTTAAAATGACACTATGTGTATAGTAGTCGATGAGTTCCATGCTGACAAACACGGAAGTTAAAGGTAGATAATGCTCTTTTTGTGCTACGGTTCTTTGGTGTATACGTCGAGGTGGCAGATCTCTGAAAGGTTATTGGATAAACCTTTTCTTCTTCACATTGTTTGGCGTATTACAATTTCAGTGACACTCTGTCGCCAACTGCAGGAATTTTGCTAGACTTCGTCTCCTGACCTGAACTCAATAATATAAAATTAAAAAAATAATTAAATAAATAAATAATAATAATAATAATAATAATAATAAAGTACCTTAATTGTCCCACAGTGTGGAAATTTGTTGTGAAAAGACACATACAGGAGCCACCACAGGAGGTGCCATTAAATACGTGATTGCAATCAAATATGAAAAAAAAGCACTATGATAGTGCTTTTGTAATGTTTGCAATTGTAAAGTGTATCTGTGCTGTTGTGTCTGAGATAAAAGTTTGTACAGGCACAATAAAGGTTAGACAGACCAGCATGAGCAAAATGTAGTACTTACTTTAAACATTAACACTAGATGTTGCTAAATCCTTCTAATTACACATTTTCCCCACAGGAATCCAAAATACTTACAATACATGTTGCATACATTTCCTTTTGTGTCCTCTGGTCGGCAGCAAAGAGGCGACTACTGTATCCTACTGTAAATGCCCAAACCTGAAAGAAGAAGAAGAGACAGGATACTAATGATGAGAGTTGTTGATGTTGACGAAAGGACCGTGAAAGTAATTCAAGTCACAAGTTGTCATTCAGGAACTTGTTGATATGAAAGGCGAGGAGTGCCTTGACCAACTTCACTCCCTCTCCTCTCTGTGCTGCTCCTCTATTCATTTCCTGTCTGTCTGTCCATTAAACTTTAACTGAAGTGACAGGAAAAGGACAACTTCAGTGGCTCGGCTGTGGTGCCATGGATTTATCGGAGTCATTTGCCGAGTCCACACGGGCTCTCTTTTAGATTTGTGGCTGATACGAATGGACAGCCACACACACTGAGAACAAATCGTATTTTTAACTTTCAACCTCTTCCTTTAGAATTCACTGGTGGCGAGAAAACACCATGGCAGACACGGGGACTTTTAACGTTGTGGTTTTAGGAGTTGGGTTTTTGCTGGTTTTCACAGCTTTCAACACTTGTGTAAATGTCGAGGTGAGTTTAAAACAAAAGTCGAGTATATTACTGCACGTTAACTGGCTCAGTTTTCAAGTGCGCATTTAATTCTACATGTAACTGAGATTTGGTTTGATTTATTTCGAGTCGTTAACCAAATGCTGCTGTTATTACGTGTGATATTATGTTTATTATTCATGCTAGCATTTACTATTCTGTATTTACTTTAAAAACACCCCACGGTGTTTTAAACGTTTTCCCTTTTTTAATGGCATAGGCTTACATTAAAAAAAATAATCAGTTCAGTTATGATTAACGTATTAACGTAATTTTTTTTTCTTTTCTTACAAAGACGTCAACCAAGGTTAGATTAGATTGTGAGGGCAGTAGGAAACGATTTAGCCTGCAAATGTGTGTCATGTGCATCTCGTGTTTCTAATTTTCTTTATTGGCCAGTAAAAGCACATGAATGAATTAAGGGAAGTTAAAATCATATTTTTCCCACTGTGCTACACAGATGTGCAACAAAAACGTTAGTCATCTGTAGGCCATCATACTTGAGAAGAAAAACTTCAGTGACTATATTCAATGATTTGATGTCTCTGTGTGATTTTGACTGTGATGGTTCAATTGAAGCAATAAGTTTGTTAGCCTAACTTTTTCTGTGTGGCTGCTATTGCACACATTAAAATATTATATATGTTTCTTTTTTTGAAAAAGTTTGAAAAATTGTTCCGGAAAGTGATTGAGAAGTGAATGAATGTTTTAGGAACCCTAGAGGTAATGTAGATATTCAATAAAACATTTTGGAGAGCTACCAGGATGAGGAAGACCCTTGAAAAGATTTATTGAGGACATGAAAATGGTCCCTGTAAGTGTACAGGAGGCAGGGAGAAAGGTGGGATAGAGACAGATTATCCACATCCTCTTGAAGAGAAGCAGCTCAATGACAAAATAAATAAATAACATAAGCTATTATTCATGCTATGCTTCCTTTGAATTTCACTTCTAGCAAACGGTGGTAAAAAGCCTGGATAATGGCACGTTCACCGGCAGTGGGTATAACAGGTAGGTCAGAAAAGATATGAAACTACTGTTACATCTTTTTAAAAAATATTCTTAATTTTTTTTTCTGGCTTTTGCAGTCTCGGAATAATCTATGGCGTCTTCTCAGTCTCAAATTTACTCGCACCAATGGCGGTTACAGTCATTGGCTCAAAGATCTCCATGTTTTTAAGTGGTCTGCTGTACAGGTAATTATGTTGTTCATTAATTATATTATTCTAACACTGCTTACTTAGAGGAAGGATTACGTTTGTATTCAGTGGTTTTCATGTTTTGTGTCCAGTGGCTACATTGCTGTCTTCATCATCCCTACCACATGGTCCTTGTACTTCACCTCTGTTCTCATCGGCATGGGAGCAGCCAGTAAGTTATTACATATTTGTTTATCCTAAATTGTTTTCACTTTTCTTTTAAATACTCATATACTTACTACTCCTTTCTAGTATTTTTTGGAAAATAATCCTATACATTCATTCATTCCTTTCTAGTATTTTTTGGAAAATAATTTTATATATATACATTTATATTTTTGTTCATATTTATCTTGCAACTATTTAAATAGTCCACATAACAAGGTTTGCTGAAAATGTATCTTTCAAATAGCTAAAAATAAAGTCATAGTTAGCTAAAAAAAAAGCCTAAAAATGAATAGGTAATAATTGGTAAACGTTAGCCAAAGTTTTCAGGAAAGAACTACTGTAGAAATACTGTAGCTTTAACCTAGATTTATATTGATAAAATCGTTAAAGATAGTTTTATTTAAAAGTAGCTTTCAATACACAATAGCTAGAGGGCAGCAAAGATTACTAAAACCTTAAAAAGAAAAAAATAAATCAGCAAAAGATAAATAATGTAGCCAAAAAAAGAAATCAGCATTGTTGCCAAAAGATAAATAATGTAGCCAAAAAAAAGAGAGAATACATTTACAAAATATTCAGTTTATGCATTCTGTAACAAAAAAGAAAGGCTTAGAAAGAATTAAAATGGATGGGAAATAAATTTGCTAAATTCAGAGCATGAGATCATCATATAAGGACATGTGTTCCATATCATAATCTGTTCCCCTAAAAACACAAGTTACAGTTAATTAAAACTGATACACTCTGTAGTGAGGCACATACTTAAATAATTCACCAAGGTTTTTTTTTCCTTCAGCCAATGCAAACTCAGCTTGAGTTAAAATTCAAATAGTGCTTAAAAAAATGCATGCACGGATTATCATGACCAGGATGTGATGATGCAACGTTTAATTGGCTCAAGAGCTGCTTCTGTAAATAGTGCCTCGCATTCAGAGTCTTCTCAGTGATGTTAATGAAAACGAGGGGAAAGCTGCTCCTTGCTGAATGTTTACTGGGGGAAAAATGAAGAGAAATGGTTAGGGAATGGTTTTTATAATGCGGGCTCGTTACTGCAGTACGGCAATGAATTTTCATCATGAGTCTGCTTTGGGAAAGTGTGTGCGGTGTTCCACTACACAGCTAGAGACCCCCCGCCCCCACAGTAAATGTGATTAATTAACTGTCTAATTGTTTGTCTATCCTCCTAAAATTGTCCATCCTTACTGCCCTTGCAGTGCTGTGGACAGCTCAAGGACTATTTCTGGTGGAAAACTCAGAGGCCTCGACCATCAACAGGAACACTGGGATGTTCTGGGCTCTGCTGCAGTGCAGGTGTGTAGCTTTATTATGAATTCTATTGTAGAAGACTGTTGAGATGGGTGGATGTGTACATGGATGGATAGATGGATGGACGAATGAAAGGATGGACGGATGAATGGGTGGGTGGATGGATGGAGGGATGGACGAATGGATGATGGACGGAAGAAGGGAGGGATGGATGGATGGACGGATGAAAGGATGGACTGACAAATGGATGAAGGGATGGATGGATGGGTAATAGACAGATGGATGGATGGACGAAGGAAAGGAAGGATGGACGAATGGAGGGATGGATGATAGATGGATGGATGGATGAATGGATGGATGGATGGGCGGTAGGTTGGACAGATAGATTGGTAGCGTGAGAAATACATTACAGCTTTAAAAAACAGGTAAAAAACGTGTAAAAGCAAGACAGAATTTCCCAAATCCATGCTGTGTGTGCTGCTGTCATGGCACATTGTGGTTTGTTCATTTAAAGACAGCAATGCTGTATGACTGTTGCCGTACAACATGAAGGTCACGGTAGTTCAGGTACTCTAGTATCCTCCCTCAGTCCAAAAACATCAATGTTAATCGGACGCTAAATTAACAGTTATTACAATGCACGTATTTGTAAAGAGCAGTTTCCTTGCATTACATAAGCCTGACACCGACGATTCCTACGAACTGTATTCCGTTAATCCACATGGGTTGCGATTAGACCCCGAAAACAGAGCTAGTGTTTGTTCTCTCTAACTGTTGTGCTACTGCTTCCAATTTAGAGGCAAATCGGCACATGAAGCATCTGTCGTCCTTCTCTTTTTCTCTCCCGTCCTCCCTCCCTCTCTCTTCCTCCCGCTCTGAATGATCCTTTTTTTAGCGCCTTTAGGTGCCAAAGTTTGGCACTGACAGATTTGGTAGAAGTAACTAACACTATGCAGAAGAACGGCAGCTGTATTAGCTTTCACTACATGTGTGAGTGGGAGAGAGGTAAAGAAAGAGGGTGGCAACAGCAGGTGAGGATAAAGTGAATGAAACCTCGATTTTTTTTTACATTTATTTTAAGCATTTCAATAAGATTCACTTTTGGCTTGCAGTGTTGATTTGGAAGGAGGCGTTAGTCAATGTATGTGAAAGTGCATTCAAATGAATCCACACTCTCTGATGTCTAGTTGACCTTAAACTTTGAAATTGATGCCCAGTTTGAACAGAATTAATTAGTTAAAAAATGTAAATAAAGATTCAAGAAGAAACTTAAACCCCTCTTTAAAAAAATCCCCTGTTATTAAGTCTGGGGAAAAAGTAATCATTCTTTTAAAATTTCCAAATGCCAAAACTGCACTGTACATCAAACATAATGTCACTGTCTTCTTCAACTGATGGACCAAAAAGATGTTCAAGAAGCATATAGAGCAAATTCACATGACAAATTTACATTTTTGTTTTCCTCCAAATACCATTGCATTTTACGCTCTTTAAATGTTTAACTTCAACAAATAAATACAGTTTGACAAATACAGGGGATCCTTGGTTTACGTCGTCCTCGACCTACGACTTTTCATACGTCCCCGTCTTCCATAAATTTATTAAGAAAGTCTCGTTCCAACATTTTGACGTACAATGTTGAAACCAATTTCGCATGGGATGTGAGTTCCCACTACATCGCGACCCCCTGTACTACCCACTATTTGGATTTTCCCAGATCAAAGGTTTGTTCTACCTGCCAGTGGCTCTACAGTGCGCCGCATTTAAAATGGAATCTTAACTGACTCTCACACACACACACACACACCGCGGTCTTACACACATAGGCATTCACGTGGACGGCCATTTGAATCTTTTCATCTCTTTTGTGCGGTTCACTGCCGTTGCACACAGGCCTGGACATCTAATTTGTATTTGCTAAAATATGCAAATTAAATTAGTATAATAATTACTTTGGCTGTCACCTGCACCAGAGCTCACAACAGGGCAATGCTAATCTAAGTCTGCAGTGGCGATCCCTGCCACAGTAAACTCATGAATCAGTTTTTCACAGCTTGCACACACACTTAAACACACACACACACACACACACACACACATACAGAGTGCAGGCAGTGCTATCAATTATGAATATCCCCCGTTATCCCCCATTGAAACTTTGGGAGAGAATAATTGCTCATATTTTAAGCTCCCACGAGGCGTTAGTCTAATAAAACCTGCTGTCACAGCAACTTATGAGCTAATGGTAAACTTTAAGAACAATACTTTGTCCCAGGCTGATTGAAGTCGCGCCTGCATCATTTACGGTTAACATGCAATTGTGTTTTGCAG